AGCCAGGTGGCATAGGACTATATATATATTAGTTAAGTGCCTGATAATTAAGGCAGCTCCTGTGAATTCCTCAATATTGTAATGATTAATGTATATGCTATTTGTATTAATTGTTTATCTATGTACTGTAAAGTGCTTAAGAGAGGCTTATTCTAGCTAGATAGGGCGCTATATTGAATTTTGTATATTATCATTATACATGTACAGGTATATTTTAATCACAAATATGTTTTCAGAAAATAATGTTATTTTTTTGGGTGCATGTGCATACCCAACAGTAGAATCAAAAAATCAAATTGAATTTCATTTGATGCATGCGGAGTACAGCTAATTAGTTGGGTCATGATCAGAAACAACCAGAAACATTGATCATTATAAATGCAAAATATGATTTTCCAGTGATGAATTATCAATAAGTCAAGTGTCTTGATGACTAGTCCTGGTAATTAAAGCTTCATAAGTACCTGTATTCTAAAGGCGAATCCAAAGTAGGTGTCAACAGCGCACGTGACACCCCGGCCCCTGTCCTAGACTTAATTTGTTTCAGTGCGTATATATATATGCTGCATCTATATATTGTGTGAATGGAATATTCAATGATTGGTGTTGACACTAATTGATTGACCAACCCAGCATCAATTAAATGGGTCAGAAAACCATGATACAGACTTTTTACCTGTATGGTCGGTGGTCCGTAGTAGCCACAGGGCACATATGTGTTATATTTGCAAGAAGGACAATTCAAAATTGAAATAAATGAATTACCAAAATTGAATTATTACATTAATTAGTCATTCCACTTGGGCATTTTACTAATAGACAAGAGAAGTAGGGAAAAAAAATCAAGAAAGATTTAGTATAGACCATAATGGACTCATCCAGATCAAAGCAGGGAAGAGTTTACTAATGACATTTGATCAGACAGCATTTGTCGCAAAATATACTGGAAATCTGGAATAGTGCATTCCCCCTGAACAAATCCTGGATCTCAGCCCCCTGTATACTGTAAATGAAGAACAATTTTCATTCATTTTATCTTGTTTAATTATTGAAACATTATTTAGCATACAATATAATATTTTAATACTTTTATTTTGATTAATATGTGATTATATGAACCTAAGAAAATGATATTAACCTTCTGTTTTCTCATCTCGGTTAATATAACTTTCTGAAGTTCATAAAACCACATATTCACCTCAATAGAAGTCCATAATTAACTCTTTTATAACAGGTAATTAGAGTGTTTAACCTTATTTGGTTTGAAATATTAACTCTTTTATAACAGGTAAAAAGTGTTTAACCTTATTTGGCTTGAAACATTAACCCTTTTATTACAGGTAAAGAGTGTTTAGCCATATTTGGTTTGAAACATTACCTCTTTTATAACAGTTAAAAAGTGTTTAACCTTATTTTGCTTGAAACATTAACTCTTTTACTACAGGTAAAGAGTGTTTAGCCATATTTGGTTTGAAACATTACCTCTTTTATAACAGTTAAAAAGTGTTTAACCTTATTAGGCTTGAAACATTAACTCTTTTATAACAGGTAAAGAGTATTTAACCTTATTTGGTTTGAAATATTAACTCTTTTATAACAGGTAATTAGAGCGTTTAACCTTATTTGGTTTGAAACATTAAATCTTTTATAACAGGTAAAGAGTATTTAACCTTATTTGGTTTGAAATATTAACTCTTTTATAACAGGTAAAAAGTGTTTAACCTTATTCGGCTTGAAACATTAACTCTTTTACTACAGGTAAAGAGTGTTTAGCCATATTTGGTTTGAAACATTACCTCTTTTATAACAGTTAAAAAGTGTTTGACCTTATTTGGCTTGAAACATTCACTCTTTTATTACAGGTAAAGAGTGTTTAGCCATATTTGGTTTGAAACATTACCTCTTTTATAACAGTTAAAAAGTGCTTAACCTTATTTGGCTTGAAACATTAACTCTTTTATAACAGGTAAAGAGTATTTAACCTTATTTGGTTTGAAATATTAACTCTTTTATAACAGGTAAAGAGTGTTTAAACTTATTTGGTTTGAAACATTAAATCTTTTATAACAGGTAAAGAGCGTTTAATCGTATTTGGTTTGAAACATTAACTCTTTTATAACAGGGAATTAGAGTGTTTAACCTTATTTGATTTGAAACATTAACTCTTTATTTAATAACAGGTTAAGAGTCAACATTATTTGGTTTGAAACATTAAATCTTTTATAACAGGTAAAGAGTGTTTAAACTTATTTGGTTTGAAACATTAATCTTTTATAACAGGTTAAGGGTGTTTAACCGTATTTGGTTTGAAACATTAACTCTTTAATTAATAACAGGTTAAGAGTCAACATTATTTGGTTTGAAACATTAAATCTTTTATAACAGGTAAAGAGTGTTTAAACTTATTTGGTTTGATACATTAACTCTTTTATAACAGGTAAAGAGTATTTAACCTTATTTGGTTTGAAATATTAACTCTTTTATAACAGGTAAAGAGTATTTAACCTTATTTGGTTTGAAATATTAACTCTTTTATAACAGGTAAAGAGTGTTTAAACTTATTTGGTTTGATACATTAACTCTTTTATAACAGGTAATTAGAGTGTTTAACCTTATTTGATTTGAAACATTAACTCTTTAATTAATAACAGGTTAAGAGTCAACCTTATTTGGTTTGAAACATTAACTCTTTAATAACAGGTAATTAGAGTGTTTAACCTTATTTGGTTTGAAACATTAACTCCCGACCAGGAAAAGGGAACTCAACATTAATTTACAATGTTCCTATCCAGGCAATGTTCATTCACAGTATCAAAACCAAAGATGAATATACTCTGGAAAATACTCCGAAGTGAAAATTTTGTAAGCAATTAAACCTATGCAATGGTATCTTTACCTATTTTACCTATAAACCTAATCACTTAGATTGTAGCATATATATATGGGAGTCACAAGTTCAAAAAGGTTTTTTATTACATTCATGGTCTCATATTCGCAGACAGGGTATAACAGGTTATTATTCTCTTTTTAGAGGGTTCATATACTGTTTTAAGATCCGAGAGTCTGACACGTCCTTTATACATATATAGGTTGATTTTTCTGTGACTTTAAATGATAATGTGTGCTGTCTGCTGTCCAAATAAACGTGTTTGATGTCGTCAGCTATTGGTATGTGTAGTGTTCCAATGATAATAGACCTATTTTCTACTTGAGATTGAAATTAACCTGAGTCAAATTTGATCTAATTTTAGCAGTCATTGTTATATACACTTTCTTGCCACAGGTAATAAATCTCACCGATCTCTTGTGTGTCGAACGATCCAGATATCTATTTAGTTTTGTTTACCTTAGTGATGATCACGACAGTGTGTTATTTTAAAACTTGATAGTGTCAGAACGTGGTTTATTGATAATCTACACGCCTTGATTGTTACCTTTACTGCGCGTTATTATCACAACGCTGTATTTAATAATAACTTACCCATTCGCTAGTGATAGATTTATTCAATATATAAGGACTCAAGAAAGATCAAATAGTTTGCAATTTCATCACCTGTGAAGATTGCCAGTTAGTGGCTCATGATCAAGTCACCTTTCACCCGTTATGGACCCATGAATGCCTTATGAAACATCAATCCCTATGCACCATCACCGTTAGCTGTATACATGGAGAAAAAGTTTAATAAAACTCTGTACCTTGATATTTGAATTATTAAACGAATCTTGTACCACTTGCCAAAATTTCAATTATGCACTGAAAACCTTTTTCTGGCATGAATATAATATCTTTGACAAATTATTTCTGAATATTAAACATCTTGCAGAACTTATATGATTTTTTTTTTAATAAAGATGAAATCAACAAAAATTAATCATTAATTCATTCACCCCTACATATTCAAACTTGACTTGCCCAGTCTTTGATTTGGTAACCGGAAGGTTCAAATGTGACTTCAGGGGTGAATATGTTAACTGTTTAGTGTCCTGAGTGTAAAAAATCAACAAGACCAAGTTAGGATTCGAACCCTAGACCGTCGATCATTTGTACAGACTTGCTCTATGATTGACTGAGCTACATAGTGTACCCAGTGAATAGATGCTGGGTGGCCTGGCCCAATCTCCCTAAAGTATGTTACTATACAAAACAAAATTGAAGGGGAGGCTACGACACGAATGAAAAATTATTGTGGATCCGAATTCTCTGTTGTTTTGCCTGCAGTCTAGGAAGGGGATCACTATTATCTAGTTTTCTAGGTATATACTATATATAGGAATAGACATCGTATACTGCATATATAGGATCTTAAATTTGTTTTTATTTCATATGAGATTTTATGAAACGAATCTAAGGAGTTTTTAATGTTGCGGCCTTGGCAAGCAAAAATTAAAACTTCGAGACGAGTTTCATAAAATCTCAAACTACTAATCTATAGATATACTAAAATACATACAAAATGTTAAATATCTGAAATTTTTGCTAATATTTTCAACTTCTACGGGTTGATATTGATTTTTTTGGGACAGTAGTGTTCTCCAAAACTTTGTATATATATATAAAGCTTACAATACTATGCCGAAAAGTTTTCTTTTTTGCGAATTAATCATTTTTGCAAGATATATTCTTTTGCAAATTTCTGGTGTACAAGAAAGACATGATAATAGAAAGTGCTAATTTAAGCAAAGATGGCTATATTTTTGCGGAATTTTTTCCCCTCAAAAATCTATAATCCTACCAAAAAACAGCATGGTGTACACTATCGCTGATTTAGCTTTGGCAAAACATTATTTTGAGGAAGGGGATTACTTTTCTGCAATTTATACTAATTCAAATAAGTACTAATTCTAATACAATTTGTACTCATAAAAATTCTTTTCAAATTGTTCACAAAAAATGTAGTGATCCATTGATTTTAAAGCTTGAGAATGGTAACAGAAGCACAAGTGCCAATTTTAAAAAGATAAGATGATATGGTTTTACAGAGAATTTATTTTATTTATAGGTCACCCTCGGCATGTTGGAGATCTACAATGAGCAAGTACGTGATTTGCTCAACCCCAAAACTATCAACCAGAAAGGTGGGCTGAAGGTACGACAGGACCCAAAGAAGGGTTTCTATGGTGAGTTTATTTTTGTGGGTATTACCTATAAAATACTTACTACAAGTTTTAATCTACATCTATAAGGACTATACCTGTTTCTTAAAAATAATGAAAATAATGGGCATACCGGATACATGATTGGAGCTCAGTAAATAACATGGCTAGTATTTCTTTCAGTTTTGATAAAATAAAGGCTAGTGTATTCTTAAATCCATCTGTAAAACTAATGTATTTTGCATATACAGTATGCTTTTCACATGTGTTTTTCTTTGGTGTGTAAAATTGAGTTATACCTTTCAGGGACAATGAAATGTTTCTTTCCTTTTGCCCATTTTGTAACTGTATTAATCTTAGAATTAACAGTAATATTGTTTCATGAATTTGAAAATGTTATTGTCAATATATTTTCCCTCTGAATACTCTGATTCAAAAAAGTTTGAGACAGACATCTATTAACACAACTTTTACACAGTCAGACCTATATTTAGACACCAGTAATGGCGAAATCGGAAAGTCCAAAAAGTGGTCTCTTAACACAGGTGGTCTCTAGTTGGAAGTAATCACATGATTATGAGCCGGTTTGACTATAAATCTGTTTCTATTGCAGTTGAACAGCTAACATCCTGCTCGGTGAACAATTACAAGGAGATTGACAACAAAATAAATGACGGCACACGAAACAGAACTGTGGCTTCCACCAGCATGAATGCCACCAGCAGGTAGCCATAGCAACACCTTGTACAAATTTTAGTAATCTTTATTCATATTTAACATTTAATGAAATGCAAACAAGTTAATTTTTATGCCAGGCCTCAGTTGCCCATGAACGGACGAAGGCTCCAAGGTTGGAGTGATAACTGTCCGTGTGCTCATGTACGTGGGGGTCACTTAAGTATTAAATATATGAAGTAACCGAATGTACAATATATACAGGAACAGTACAGCATTGGTGGTCAAGTATTGAATACGGAAGTATTGGTGTTTGGGACGGTGCAGACGTATACAACCAGGTGTTAAGTATAGACAGGTTAGGCCTCGTCCCTTGGGCGACTCCAGGGTACCGGTTCAGACTTACAGGCCAGCCATGTCTGAGCCATTCTTATTGGCAATAATCTGAATTTTCTCTAACCACTGGTTAAAGCTAACATCAAACATTCGAGTGACTGCGACCGGACTTCTGGTCATTGCCAAACGTTGGCCATGCATGGTGTACAACCATGCAACCATCATGACACCTGATGTGTAAAAGTTTACTCAAAGTTTCCACTATATATGTCTGGACTTTTTTGTTTTTAGTCGAGCCCATACAATAGTAGCCATCACTTTTACACAGAAGACTCCTAACGAGACTGGACAGAGCATGACCAGGACCGCCATTGTCAACCTTGTCGATCTGGCAGGGAGGTAACTTTCTTTTACTTCTACGTGTACCTGCAGCAAATATATTATGACCTTATACTACCTAACAGGGAGATTTCTTTCTACTGGTAGATTGAATGTTTGGTATGAAGATTTAAATTCATTGCTAGTATTCTTTTACTAGGATCAGAGTAATTAATTCACTTTTATATTATGAACTTTATTTATATTTTAAAACTTGTGGACGTTGTTAAAATTGATCCCATGCTTTCTAAACAGAAAATCCTTTATTTCTGTTTATTGAAATACAAGATGTATTTTTTAACAATTTAGAATTTCTAACAATATACCTACAATGGTTAGGGAGATTCTGAATCTTGAGACTCGGGTCAAAGTTTAAGTTTTCAAGGTAAAAACAAAGGGAGACTCACTGCCTAAAAGGGAGACAATTACATGTATATGTATTAAATATAGTAGAAAATTATGTATTTTGGTTAACTGAACATATATTTTTGATCATTAATTGTATATATTTGTATTACTCTATGAAGACTTTTATGAATTTTTTCCTAAGGTCCAGGTCAAAATCTTGTCCTGTGTGTTTTTCAAAACAGTGCAGGGAAGAAAGCGTCCATTTTGCGCAATTTAAAATAAAATACAAATTTATGGCCATGATTAATTGCTATATAAGATGTTGTTTTCGGTACGTTTCAGTGAGAGGGCTGACTCGACAGGGGCTACAGGGGACAGATTAAAGGAGGGGTCAGCCATTAACCAGTCTCTCAGTTCCCTTGGTAATGTGATCAAAGCTTTAGCTGACCAATCGACGGGCAAGAAGAAAGTTGTAGGTAGGTACCAGATTTCTTATATAGGTCAGATGATATGATATCTATGTTAAAATAACTTTGTAACATTAGAAGATCTTATAGTTATCTGAAAACTTATACAAACTACGATTGTGTAACCATTTTTACATCTCCCGCAACAAAGTCATTGGGTACTGTATGATGAGTTATTTATAGGCTTAATTTTCAGGGATTATAATTTCGCTATCTAGACTTGTGAAGGAACTTAATTTTCGTTGTGTCCTAGCATAGAGACTGAACACTTGGAGTATAAAGTGTCAAATATTTGAATGAATACATTTCATAACGGCATATTGGGCAGAAGCAGACATTTTTATGGGAGTTATTGCCCTTTTTACAACAGTTAGCCGACACAATCTTGTCTGCACATCTCCTACAGTTTTCAGCTTAATTTAATGATAAAGCAGGCTTTTTTTCTTAAGCACTTACTAATACTTAAAAAAAAACTTTGATAGAGAGTTAGTTCATGTATATACCTATATATCATTGTCATTATTTTAGTGCCGTACCGTGACTCCGTGCTGACTAAACTTCTACAGAATGCGCTGGGTGGTAACAGTAAAACCATCATGGTAAGTGTATCTCCCATTAAAGCATGCAATCACTGTTCCATTGTTTTACTTTCCATTACCACTCATCTGATTGAGCGTTAAAGTGAGGAAGGCAATGGGTTCTGTCCCCGGGCCAGGACATACAGAAATCCTGTCAAATTGTAGTTGTTATTATCTGCTCAAAGTCTGCATTTAGGGTTATTGCAACAACTGGTTTACCCGTTGTCAGTATAATGTGACCTGGTTGAATGCTGTGTTGTGTGCCTTCAGCATGGTATTTCAGTGAGGTAGCACTTTAAAGTCTGCATCAGATCCCCGGGATATCAGATATATCAGAATGTGGCAAATACACCAATAGTCCTTGCCCCGAGCATGCATACACACAGGCATGCATACATTACACGCATGGAAGCACATCCGTAAATAATCAAAGCTGTTGGTAGGATGTTAAACAAAATAAAAACAAAAACAAATCCAATCTAATAACTGGTTGCCTGGTACATAATTACCTGGGCCCGTATGCATGAAACCATTCTCATGTTCCAACTCAGATTCAGTTCTCAAACCCAATTCCTTTTTCTGTGATAAATTAATACATAAAATTACATTTTGTCAATTATATAGAAGAAGCTTAATACCATTTTCAATAATAACACTAGACTTTTTGATCGTGGCAAACTAATATAAGCGAGTTACAGAAATGTTGGCTTGAGCATGAGATTAGCTTCATGAACATGTTCCCTGGTTATGCTGAAATGCGTTGTTTTCCAATGTAATGGTTGAGCAGTTTTCTATTCGTCAAATGTAGAGCTATTTTAAAATTGGACAACCCATAATCTGAACACTTACATCATCAATATATACATTATATGTGTTTTTTCTGTGTTAAAGAGATACAATAAACTTTGTGTTGTAGATCGCAGCGTTGAGTCCTGCTGACATTAATTACGAAGAGACACTCTCTACACTTCGGTTTGGTAAATATGATTACCCTACTTAAAAATAACCATCAAATAAAGAATCAAGAGCTTTCAAACGGAACTGCACAAATATAGAATGCTTCCTTCTGAAACGAAGGAGCATGCCTGTCTGCTGTACTAGAAATACTTAAGTTTGTGCAAATCAAATTTCACAAAGTGATGTTTCCAGACCTATTTTCAAGAGCTAGAACATATTCTCTCTTCGCTCACACAGAACATTCAGGCTAGGCAATTAAAATGGTTGCTAAAAGTAAAGAAAAAACAGATGCACAAAGGGGTCAGGCGTAGATCTGTGCACACTCAAACACTCAAAAACTTATATTTGACGTTTTAGGTTAAGGGTATGTACTGCATCAGTTATTATCGCAAAGGAGAGTTTGACTTTGAGGTTTTTTTGGAAGATGATGCAACAAAAAAAAGAGTTTTTACGGCTTAAGATAACTTCCCCTGTCTAACTCTTCATATAATTTATTGCTTTTCTTGAAATAAATGGAATTGAAACATGGGGTAATATTGGTATCTATTATTCAATTTACTACCCAAATATGCTCCTTTATTTAAATATTGTGAAACCCTTTTTGGAGACATAATGATATGTCTTACACATTGATAATGGCATAATTTATATACTTGTAGCTGACAGAGCAAAGGCAATCAAAACCACTGCTACTGTTAACGAAAGTCCCACCGACCGACTCATCCGAGAACTTCGGGAAGAAAATGCGCGCTTGATGGATATGCTGAAACAAGGCGGGCTTTCTCCAGAACAGGCAGCAGCTCTAATTGCAGGAGGAGGAGGAGGAGGAGGAAATTCATCTAATTCAGGTAATGTCAAGGTCATATGATACTAGAAAGGGCAAGGTCGTTACATTATAGGAAGGTCAAGGTTAATTATTTCTTTTAATAGAATGTTTACAAAGTAACCAGATAACTTAGCATAGAACTGTAGTAAGGTTGAAGAAATCAGAATGGGTAATAAGTACTAAAGCGTATCTTGATGGACGTATTATTATGTCTCCCCTCGAATGAAATTCCTGGAATCCATGTTATTTCACCTACATTGACCAAACTTATCATATTTATGTATCTTGGGAAGGCGGAATCTCTCGCACTAAAAACAAGTTTTGTGCCCCACTATATACAGAGTTATGGCCCTTTGTTTATTTTTGATACCGAAGTTTGTCCACAGCATAACTTCTAAACAATTAAAGATATCTTAATCATACTTGAATTATACCTGCATCACTCACAGAAGGTGTGCAGTGCACTAGAACCAGGTCTCGTGCCCTACTATGTACAGAGAGTTATGGCCTTTTGTTCATTTTTAATACTGAAGTTTGTCGGGAGCATAAGTTTCATGTTATTTCACCTACGTTGACCAAACTTTTTATGTATCTTGGGAAGGTGGAATCTTCCGCACTAAAATCAGGTTTTGTGCCCCACTATATACAGATTTATGGCCCTTTGTATATTTTTAATACCGAAGTTTGTCCACGGCATAACTTCCATGTTATTTCACCTACGTCAACCAAACTTGCTATAGTTTTAATGTATCTTGGGAAGTAGGAGTGTCTCATTCCCAATTTGGGTCTTGTGCCCCACTTTATAAAGAGATATAGCCCTTTGTTATTTTTTTATACCGAAGTTTGTCTATTGGCTAATAAGGGGAGATATATGTTTTTGTTCACAAAAACAAAATTCTAGTTTAATACATGTATTTTAAAAAATCTTAAAGTCTTGACATGGAAAAATGGTGAACCCACTTGCAGTCAAAGTGGGAGAACACGCCTATTTGTCAAGTATATCAGATAGATTAGAATAGAATCATAAGCTACTATTTGAGAGAAATTACAGAAAAAAGATAGGCCTTAATTAGTGTTTTCTCTTTGTTAAGGCTTTTGTGTGGTGTTTTCACTGGAATTAGTGAAGACAAAAATATATTTAGTGCCTTTGATCTTTGCAACTGGATTGTTCAATTTTGAGTCTATTGTTTCTTTGCTTGTAGCTAATCAGGGTATTGTATTTCTTATATATGCAAAATATAATGGACAATCCCTGCCTGTTTTCTTTGAATGCCTGAATTATAATATGAATGCCTGCATTTTAATTTGAATGCCTGAATTTTAATTTGAATGCCTGAATTATAATTTGAATGCTTGAATTTGAATGTGAATGCCTGAATTATAATTTGAATGCTTGAATTTGAATGTGAATGCCTGAATAATAATTTGAATGCCTGTATTATAATTTGCATGATATTTTAAAGTTGTGTATTTGCATAACTGTGTGATATTTTGTTGGCTTTCCTTTTCCGTAATTTTTTTACAACTTGATAAAAAAACTGGGCAATTTATAGTGGAAAGTTAGACATTCAGTCTATAATAATTCAAAATAATGATATTTTCAAAACATATTTTAAAGTGTTTTGATAGCTAACAGATTTATTTGAACTTATTACACAAAGTGGGTTATTTGCTAAATAACATACAACATTATCAATTTCAACATTATTAATTTGGTCAAGGAATTTGTTCTGAGTATTGATTTGAATCTAATACTGATACTATTTTGTTGCACATTATATTTTCCCAGATGAGGGTAAGCATTTTTCAGATGGAACTATCCAGTGGTTTGTGTACAAAATTATGACTTAATGCGTAGAAATTCCGACGTGCTATCAAGATCACACAGAATTATGGTACAAACAGGTTCACGCAGGATTATAGAAATGTCCAAAAAAGCTTTGCATGTTAGATCTAGATTCAACTAACAATATGTTATTTACATGTGAAAGATACAACATCTATCAATTTCTCAAAAGAAAATAATTAAAAAACATTAACTATTGAAACTGAGTTTCAAAATTATGAAGTAATGATTTACATACTTTGTCGATATTTCCTTGTTCGAGAGTATCTTGAGAGCAAATAAATTTTATATCTGAATATTTATCAAGAAAAAGAAGTTGAAAAGCTATACGCAATATATAGATGACATTTTAAGGTTTCTTGTTGAATACCATATGTATTTTAACCCTTTCACCCCTATGAAACTTTAGTAGACTCTCCCATGAAATGATCTGGATGAGTCCATTATGGTCTACAGTGGTGAAAGAGTTAAGAGTATTACAGCACACTGATACATTGCGTCATTATATTCTGTCATTCAAGTGACAAGCTAGTTACAGGAGGTTTTTACAGCACAGTAATAGTGTAGACATAGCGTAGTGTATTACTGACTAAACACAAACATTCATGATGTTGTAGGGCTCATAGTGTTGTTTATTGGTAGCGCTCTTGACAATATGTGTTGTAGGGGTAACATTAGGGTTTATGACATAGTGATATTTTGGGTTAAACTATAGGGTTCATGACATCATGATTTTTTGGGCTACAGTTGGGTTTATGACATTTTATATTGCTGGGTTCAACTAGGGTTAATGGCATCATGTATTGATGATCCGGTTACAGTTGGGTATAAGACTTGGTGAATTGTTGGGTTAAATAAGATTCATAACATTATGTATTGATCAGTTACAGCTGGGTTCATGACATTGTGAATTGTTGGTTATATGACATTGTGAATTGTCGGGTTGCATTTGGGTTTATGACAGTGTATTATTTGGTTAAACTAGGGTTCATGACATTGCGTATTGTTGGTTATATGACTTTGTGAATTGTCGGGTTGCATTTGGGTTTATGACAGTGTATTATTTGGTTAAACTAGGGTTCATGAAATCATGTATTTTTGGGCTACAGTAAGGTTTATGACATTGTGAATTGTTGTAAGGTTGAACAAATTGGTATAAATACTGAAGTGTATTTTGCTATATTAATTATTTAATACTTTGAAAAATCTTTAAGTCTTGAAGGTATATAAATGATCTAAAAATAGGTATAGCTGCTTTGCAAACGATTTTGTTGCCATAATTCTGTATGGTCTTTATAGGCTACCAGCCTTCTACAAACCTGAAGTTGAACTTTCATATTATACACGTGTATTTTTTATAATTAAACTGTAGAAATCTGGAAATAGTTAATTTGATACATTCCATTTTTCGCAATGACTTTTGGTGTCACCTTGACATCATGATTTGGAATGTATTGAAAATATATTTATCTGCTTCAGTTTGTTTGAGAAAAATAATTCTACAACGATTATATTATGTAAATTAGTTACATTAAAAGTTCCAGATTCTACAGTTTGGTTTACTAAAATAGTTACAGTTTCTCTTATAAAAGTTCTCTTACCTTAATCTCCCCGTTTAAGACATAAACTTTTTCATATTTTCTTATTTTCTAATCATCTAAATTATGTCCTTCAATAAAAAAAACCTGTTAATACAACTTTGCATTTCAAACTTTTACAATGAAAATTCTTTACATTGAGATAAAACTATTTCACTTTCAGTTGTAGCTAAATGTTGTGATGCTGCTGACTTTTCCCAATTTTACACTTTTTTTTATTGATACATACGTAATAATGGATAATATTAAGTATTTGTCAATACCATTATTTCAATACATGTAGTCAATTTAAACATTGAAAATTCTTATGAAACATCTGTCTCTCGATCCTACAGAAATAAAACAAAAATTATTAAAGTTTTGTTCTGCCACAAACATAAACAATTCTCATCAAGAGTTGGTTCTGATTTTATAGATTATCAAGATATCAAACATTTTCATAAAAAATTGGTCTCTAGATTCCTCTGCTGCTCAGTAGAAACGCAAACATAAAACCACTCAATCAATTAAAATGTTGATGATGTACTAGTATGTATGGGTTAGAACATATAAGTTTAGTCCAGCTTCACTAAATAGATATTTAGTTGAAATTTTAGTGACATATTGATTACAGTAACTGCCATTATTATTAATCTTCTTAGTAGTGCTTAGGTAAATACTACTTATAGTGTGTTGAATTTTTTAATACTCTGTGATCCGTCATTTTTAGCTCATAGAATTATAAAAATGCTTGCTGATTTCTCTATAAAGCTCTTATTAATCATTATTTACCTTTTCTAAATCCAACATAAATTTGTAAAATGAATTATTGGAATCTGTATAAATATATGCTTATTATTCTGTACTTTATAATACCTTTTTTTAAGTTCTTCCTTTTATTTTTCAACTCCAATGTATTTCTCTCAATATCCCCTCCGGTTCCCAATGAATTTCTGTCCGTATCCCCTCTGGTTCGCAATGAATTTCTCTCCATATCCCCTCTGGTTCGCAATGAATTTCTCTCCATATCCCGTCTTGTTAGCAATGAATTTCTCTCCATATCCCCTCTAGTTCGCAATGAATTTCTCTCCATAACCCCTCTGGTTCGCAATGAATTTCTCTCCATATCCGCTTTGGTTTCCAATGAATTTCTCTCTGTATCCCCTCTGGTTCCCAATGAATTTCTCTCCATATCCCGTCTGGTTCGCAATGAATTTCTCTCCATATCCCCTCTAGTTCGCAATGAATTTCTCTCCATATCCCCTCTGGTTCCCAATGAATTTCTCTCCGTATCCCCTCTGGTTCCCTATGAATTTTTGTCTGCTTATACCTCCCTGTTCTAGATGCATTACTGTTTGTGCGAACCTCCCCAACCATTCCAAACAGTATTTCATGTGTTAAAAAAAAAAAAAAAAAAAACTTGTGTTCCGCTCTCATCCTCTCAAACCTAACTCAATATATATATTATTAACAATTTTTTCCATGAATATTCTGAACTCTTGTCTAATGAAATTTGAACTTGAGTTTTAAGATAAATATTTGAATATTGCTTATGCTGAAAAATTAGGGTATAGTTATTGTTGCCAGTATTTGGTAAATGTGTCAGGGTTTGGATTAGTAGTAAATTGTACATTTTGTTCATTTTCTATTTTACAATGTTACTGCATGTGAATGCATGAAGGAGGAGAAAAACAGGGCATGAATATGATCATGAATATTAAAATCACATGAATATGAATATTTAAATCACATGAATATTTAAATGACATGAATATGAATATTTAAATGACATGAATATTTAAATGACATGAATATGAATATTTAAATCACATGAATATTTAAATCACTCTACTCTGTACTTAACCAGAGGAATCAGTTTATGTATATCGTATTTAATCAGAAACAATTGATCTTCAATCGTATAAACAGGTTCCTGAATCAATTTACCCCTTTGCACCTTATCTGCCAATCCCTTAAAAATAAACATGTTAGTTCAGCATTATTTTTTATACCCCCAGCGTTTCATCCGAGAGAGGTAAAAGCTAATGTTACCCATATCTCTTCTGTCCCGATTCACCGTCACAAATCAAAGTTTATACAAAGATTAATTATGAAAATACCTCAGATTAGTTCATACTTCAGCATCCAAAGGTCACTGTCAGTATTTATAGGTCAACTACAGGGCTATAGGATGCAACCATGTCTTAATAACAGACATTTGTGTTGTATGGATTGCACCGATCAGTAAAGCAGCAAGCTATATATAACAACAGTAAAAAAAACACCAGGAACTTATATAATCATTGAAAATGGACTTATTTATTAAAAAACGACACAACATAAAAACACATGTTACAATACATGAATTGAACAACCTCCTGTATGAGAAGGTGTACCATAGAGTGCATAAGAACGAATCCCAAAATAAACGGTTACCACCAACATAAATGCAATAAAATGCTTTCTGTATTTAACTGTTGTTTTATGTTGTATCAGACAGGTTCGCACCTATCAGTCACGCAGCAAGCTATGTTATATAGTACAGTCAATAAAAATGCCTGCTAATTATAAGACTTTGATGATTGAAAATGGCCGTGACATTTTTCTAATTATCATTTTTAAGGTTGGATTGGCTAGTTGCAATTGTTTCACTGGTCCCTGTGTATAACATTCTTATATAGTTTTAGTCAATTCTCAAGTATAATCTACAAGCCTCGGCAAATATATTATGTTTACAATCGTCATCACCAGGATGTTTCATGCTGATTTGATTCAAACAAATCTAAAACCATATGGAAACAAATTTTGAATACCTAAAAAAATCTGCCTTAAAACAATTCTTATAGTAAATTAAGCAGTTTAAAAAACTAAAGAACTCTGTTTATTAAAATGGCTTGTTTAACTCATTCACCCCTGAAATTTCGTTATGAACTATTCCAACCATTGAATTGGAAGAGTTCAATGTGTTTTCAGGGGTGAATGAGTTAATCAAGGTGGGAAATGAAACAAAGAGCATTACAAAGACAGGTATACTCTATACCAAGAAATTTATACAAGTTTAGTTTTCACAATTTTAGCCCATTGTAATGAAGGCGAATTTATCATTTGCAGCGATTGTAAACAGCATAAAATACAAAGTAATTAAATGTGAAGGGCAAATTTAATATTGTGTAAAAATAGATTTAACCCACTATAAGGGCGAAATTATGATTGGGCAAAAATTTCCCACTTTGCAGTACGATACGGCAGGTCAAACAAAAATGTCTGCTTTTCCAGGTTGTGACTAAAGATTAATTACAATAGGTGTTCAGAGTAGAGTGAAGTTTGTAGATAATAAGGTGTATCTCTTTATTTTGGCAAGTATAATCAGGGAATATGTGAGTTCATGTTTCAGGGGATGCTAGCTACAATTCAATCATCCTCAATACTCCAGGGGTTACGCTCTCTTACGCTCCCTGTACCCCTGGAATATGTCATAGCAAAATTGAAGATGCACAGCTATAATAGCTAATTGATTGGTCCTGAACAATCGCTATGTTGATACCTGTCCTTTGAAAATCAAAGAGGAGCAACACCCTTCTTTAATGCCAGTCAATTCTAGGTAATGTATCTTTACACTACACCAAGTACTTCTGATGTACATGAAAGGATCACCTAGTCTTCTTGTCTCATCCACAGGGTGGGGCTCACAGAGCCTTCCATTTTTAAAGGGGTGCTGAGCACAAAAGTGATCGTAATCCCTGGAGTATTGAGGAGGTAGTTCATTATCGGTACTTTGTATATGTGGCCACTATCTGTGGAATTAATATCCAGAAAGGATTGACAAATGTGCGGAATCGTCTCTTTGCAAAACAGTGCAAAAATGAATCTCTTGCCAAAATAGAGTGATTACATAGAACCTCAGTCCATAGTTATATTCAGTTGATGTTGTGATTGTGGTGATTTGCATGTACATGTACGTATAGAACAAGACCTGTATTAAGGGACCATCTCCTGCAAGTAGTCTCTTAACATATTAGTCAGGTATCTTTAACCCATTCACCCCTCAGAAGACACATTTGAACTTTTCCAATTCAAAGGTTTGAATAATTCATTATGAAAGTTCAGGGGTGAATGAGTTAATAGATGCATGCATGAGCATATTTGACTCGATTCAATGCTGATTTTTCTGTGTTTGTTGTACTTCGGGTATATATACTGTACAATTAAACCTGCGTAAAGAGACCTGACCCGGTGGAAATACAACAGATGGTTTCTTTACACAGGTTCAGTTCACAATGCAATCACAACCATAGAATGCAGTAATATTGGTCTCATAATACAAGTGGTCTCTTAACTCATTCACCCCAGAAGACACATTTGAACTCTTCCAATTCAAAGGTTGGAATAGTTCATTGTGAAATTTCAGGGGTGAATGAGTTAATAGGGGTGGGCGCATGAGGATGTTTAACTGAATTCTACCTTGTAGTTTCCATAGGTGATTTTTGCATGCTTGTTGTACAATCCCTTACCCGTAGTCTGTTGGTGAATTAATTTTGTTTTCCAACTGATGAAAGAAGTATTTTGTTGTTCTGTAGAATTTCTTTCTAAAGTCAGCAGATTGTCTATTTTATTAAATCGAAGTATGAAATTATTTATACACAATAGAAGGTCAGTTTGCATTATTATGAACATGTGACTTTCAATTCGGACACAAGTTTAAAATTCATAGAATAATACACGCTTAAAAAGAGTAAACAGTATCTTTATAATGATAGGACCCTGAGGAAGATTAGCCTTCGACTAAATAAGGTTTTAACCCTTTCACCCCTATGTAACTTTAGTAGACTTTATACCATGCATTGATCTGGATGAGTCTATTTTGGTCTACAGTGGTTAAAGGGTTAATCTTCAATTAACAAATTTTTAATGACGAAAATAAAATACAACAACAAAAATATTCATTTTGACTGGAATATTAGGTTTATTTTTTATTCTTATTTCTTGTAAATTCAAGATATTTTTTTCATCAAACAGGAATGGAAAACTGTTCAAATCAAATTGAACAATTACAAATAACTTAATGATTATGTTTTAAATCTATTTTGCATTACTGTAGCACATTTCAGCAATAGAAAATGATCATAAAAATGAGGTTTGGTAATGTTAATTATAACTCATGCTAAATTTTAATGGCAAATTGATGATGATGATGATGATGATGTTGATGATGATGATGATGATGATGATGATACAGAGATTGAGGAGATGAAGAAACAACTGGAGGAGCAGGTGAGAAAGAACCAAGAGGAAATGGAGAACATGAAAAAGACTTGGAAAGAAAGGGCGGCAGAGTCCCAGGTGGCCAACTCGGTATGTACTACAGTAAAACCTTCTTATACTGCCTCCGTTTGTCCAGAGAATTTTTGGCATTATATGGAGGTATGGCGATAAATTGAGGGAAAGGTTTAGAGGAATTGTTAAGGAAACGAGAAAAAGGCCACCGTTTGTCTAGAGAATTTTTGGCATTTTATGGATGTTTGGCGATAAACTTAGGTAAATGTATAGAGGAATTGTTAAGAAATAGAGTAAAAGGGACATCAAAATATGTTCGCTGTAAGTGAGGTGGCAAATAAAACGAGGGGCATTTGAGGTTTACTGTGTTTTGATCAATCTCATTACTCAGTATATAGGGCACAGCTGTTCTCTCTGTGTTTATATGTAAGCCTTTGGTAGTTTCTCAGAAAGGAATTTTGTTTACATCAGTTTAAAAAATGTTGAAGAAATTTGAAGTCAATTTTTTAGTGATTTCATTTTGAAGGATTTGTGTTATATCCGATCCAAAATTAAGAATATCCCTTTAAAAATCTGATGACTGAGAATTTTATATTTTTCAATATGCTTAGCAAAAACAAAGAAAACAAAACAAATGTGTACTGACATGACTTTCGAACATCTTTAAATGAACTTATGGTGAAACACAAACAGAAAAGAGTGTGAATACAAGATTTTCAAATGGAAAACAATGTTATGTAAATTACTAAATTAAATGTTGTTTTCTTTTGTATCAACATCAGGCCAATATGGAAGAGGACAACAAGAGACTGGCCAACAGAAAGGTGGTTCCTCACCTTTGGAACCTGAATGAGGACCCGGCCCTCACAGCCATGGTTGTCCATTTCGTTAATGAAGGTAATCAATTTTAATTAGCACATGTAACATTACTAGAAAGATCCTTTGTTTGCCCCATCATGTCAATGCGGCCACTTCCGTATTAGGGGATGGGGTCTGGGGGTCATACTTTGCTCTAATGTTATACAAAGGTCAAGTATGAGAATAATAATGATAATTATGATATACAACATTTGATATTGTGCACCCTATCTAGCTAGAATAAGCCACTATAGAGCGCTTTACAGTACATAGATATACAATTATTACAATTAGCATATACATTAATCGATACAATTTTGAGAAATTCACAGGAACTGCCTTATCAGGCACTAACTACTAGTCCTATGCCACCTGGCTAATATCTCCCTATGTGTGTATGCCTGTGTGCGTTGGAGATGTTTTGTGTTCTGTTTGTAGTAGGACCGTGCTTCCAAGGGCACCTCACTTGAATGCTACAGCACAGATACCGCAACATTTACCCCAGACCATTTTATAATCTACCTGGGTTGTTGGTGTTGTGTGGGCAGGAGAAAAACACTTTCTCTGAATATAATATTTAAATCAATGATTAATCATATGATACTAAATGTGGCAAAAATGATGATAAAACTATCAGCAGAATTCCGATAAGATGTTATATATTAATACACAGTGAATTAGTTGTATCAAAAAAAAATTCAATGATCTATTATCTAGGAACATCCAAGCTGGGAAACAAAAAGGCGAGCCCTCCAGCAGATATTACACTCTCCGGGTTAAGGTGAGCATCATCTTTATGTAACTGTAATTATAACTCTTTACGTCATCCACCCCTGAAGACACATTTGAACTCTTCCAATTCAAAGGTTGGAATAGTCCATTATGAAATTTCAGGAGTGAATGAGTTAATGTCTAAATCTGCTTACTTGTTTTGTTTATTATTGAAAAATATTAGATATCAGATCAGAAGTAAACATTTTTGCTGCTGCAGAGTCTTTTCAAAATAAGTCGAAAAATTTCCAGAAATCTTTTCCATCTCTGTCCCACTACTCTGTCGTTTTTCCAATGTACATTAACTTCCCCTTAACTTCTGTTTGGGTATATAAGGCTGTAGCACAGTTTGGTCAGGACAATTCCGTTGAACAGGGAGCTCAATCTGTTAGAGAGATAGTATAACAATCTGAGGTCCAGGGTTCGAACCCTGGTCCTGTACACACAGACAACTGTTGATCATGACATTTGGTTTATTCGTCTTTTCTGTTTCTCATGAAGTCCCCCAAGATATGGTTTTCCTTTCATCAATGATTTATCAAAGCCATAGTTATGCAGGAAAAAACAGTTTCTAATACTCCGTCACAGTTTTTGGCAGTGGTACGGGGATCCTTAATTATGAAATTTGCTTTCGCAGTATACTGCCAGCCCATGCTGTTGTCACCAGTAAAAACGGTAATATATCTATCAAGCCGTTGGAGAAAGCTAAAATTCTGGTGAATGGTCAGAGAATCATCAAGGATACACCTCTTCATCATAACGACAGGTAAGTTACCATGGTAACTGTTTCAACATCATTTCAATGTATTACATTAATTTAATGGATTTTAATATCATAACAGACAGTGCAAAACAGAAAGTAGGAGTGGGTGATGCATGCAATTTTCATATTGCAATATAATGTATTCTTAGAAATTATCATTGCATTCAAAGTCATATTATTTTTAAAAAAAAAATCATTGGTAAACTGATTTTTTTTATAAAAAACACTCAATACACTTATGGTCTCTAACGTTTTGTTTTCAATAAAATTAATTCAATAGGGAGAGTGTTATCAAAGGATTAAACTAGCTTTCAGAGGGTGGCCCATACAGAGCATTTAATTTCGTCATATGACATATTCTAGGGATGCAGAGAACATAAGAGAGGGCGCCTCTGGAATTTAAAGGATGTGGTGTCCTGATACAATAATTGGTTTTGATTTTTAGCTCACCTGGCCCAAAGGGCCATGTGAGCTTATGCCGTACTGCGGCGTCCGTCGTCCGTAGTCTGTCGTCCGTCGTCCTTCCGTCAACTTTTTCTTTTGAACGACTTCTTCTGAAGAACTGTAGGACCTAGGGTCATGATATTTGGTCAGTAGGTACCTGGGATGGAGTGCTATAAAGTTTCCTCATTAAAATGACCTTGACCTACTTTCAAGCTCACAGAGTTTAAATATGTTAAATATTTCAAACAACAATTTGATCCTAAGAACCATTTGAACTAGCGTCATGATACTTGGGTATGTTATGTAGACCAGCAGTGCAACTTTTTTTTTCAGTTACAGTTATGAGGTCAAAGGTCAACTTTAAATGCTAGTCAGGGGTCAAATGTCAACTTTGGTTAAAAGCTTTAACAGTCTTCTTCTCAAGTTCCATAAGGCCCAGGGTCATGATATTTGGCCAGTAAGTACCTGGAATGTGGTGCTACAAAGTTTCCTCATTATAAAGACCTAGACCTTCTTGAAGGTCACAGGGGTCAAATATGTTAAAAATTTCAAACAACAATATCGTAAGAACCATTTGAACTAGTCATGATACTTAGGTTTGTTATGTAGACCAGCTGTGTGAATTGTTTTCTTCATTACAGTAATGAGGTCAAAGGTCAACTTTAAGTGCAAATCGGGATTCAAATGTCAACTTTGGTTAAAAGCTTTAAAATTAAAATTTTAAGTTTCAAACAACAATATCTTCAGAACCGTCAGAACTGTTTAAGAGATATTAAAATGTCTTGTGTTCTAAGTTACCAAATGGTCTTAAGTTACCGATATGTCAGTTACATGTAACAAAAGAAACAGGTGAGCGATACAGGCCCTCTGGGCCTCTTGTTTTTATATTTTATAGTATTTGACAAAATTTCCAAAATTCAAAATATCGCTTCTTGCTGTTTTGAAATTTTGATACATGTAGTTCAAATATCCAAACAGCTGAATTTTTATGATGTATGATATAAATGAATTTCTAAATACCTTGTAGCAAGTGAGTTGTTGAATAAGTGTTTGCATTAAGTGTCACATTAGCTCAGTGTTAATACCTTTCATGGATATTAACGTAATGTAAATCCTATCACAGACTCCTGTTTGGTGCCAACAATATGTACGTGTTCCACCACCCTCAAGATGAAGCCAAAAATCTTAAAGAGGGCAAGAAAACAGAGACACCTACATTTGATTCCGCTCACGAGGAGATTGCTCAGAAAGCTGGTCTAATGAACACTGAGGGGAAATCTGCCGGTAAGGAGCAAGCATTTTTCTAATTCATTAATAAAAACATCTCCATGACCAAGATCAGTAAAATAATCATATTCGAAAACATGCTGTATTTTCTTTCAGTGGGCTTTTTGTTATTGACAAGAATTATTCGGATGAACATGTGATTGTTTTTCAACCAGTGTTTCAAGAATCATTTAGAATGATATGTTTAAACTTGTGTTAGAATATTAAGTTGAGAGAAATTTGAATAATTGGGTACTGATCCCAAGTGTTCACTTAAAATTGATGTCACATAATCCGAGTTACTTAACCTATTTGTTTGTGTAGACCCACCCTAAAAGTGTTTTACTTATAGTTTCATAAGAAGCAGTGTTATTTTACTAAGATCATTAATGTTAATATATAACTTCATTTCAGTAATACAAATTACCATAAATTTAGTATGCATATTCAATACCTTCACCCATCTTTGTAGCCCAAAAACAAAGGATTTAAAGATCCTACCTTCCCTACCCTCACGCGACCCTCTTGACGATAGAGACAGAGTGATCTCCCTTCTTTTTCCTTTAATGGTGTCTGCACTGTGCTGACGGCTTTGGCTTGGCTCCATAACATTAGAATAAAATGTAACTAGCTGTTATAATAAATATCTTTGAAAATAAATATTATTTCTGATATAAAAAAACCACCTGCATGTACTTTTACCCACAAAGCAATTTTAATTGGTTCTCTAGTGTTTCACTTCCTTTCAAGTGTGACTTTTGCTTTATCAATGACAAATCTAGACTAAATCGAAATAATGTCACATCCTCAAAGTTAGAGCCAGGGTAGTGACAAGGGAACCATAAAGCCAATAATGAGTGTAATGAAAATCACATCACACAAGGAAACGAGTTCATGATGGAGACCATTAAACTTGTTTGTATTTTTTACCAACCCACATCTCGCAAAACCCTGTGATGTAAGTTTGTCCATCAATATTTAACATTTATCATGGTAATCTTGATAATCTGAGCGAACTAGTAAATATCAAATCAATTGCGACATGTAAACATTTTTTATTTTAGCTTGACTTGTGATTTCAGTAGTTGTGTTGTTACATGGATTTTGATTGGCTTTGAGTTTGTTACAGATATTTTGATTGATCTGTTTACAGAGGACATGATCCTTCAAGAAGAGGTGGTCCAAATGTTACAGCTGGTCAATGAGGCTAACGCCATGTCCGAAGAGCTGGACAAAAAGGTCAAGTTTGAGGTCGCCCTCATCTCACCTCAGGCACGTGGCATCAAGGATGGACGGACTGTGGTAAGTCTATGTACATGTGTTTAGTGTGAACATAAATAAAGATTGAGTGGCATTTTTTTTAATGTTCATGCAAGTTTGGTTTGAACATATTTTATTGTACAAAGATACAAATGAACTATAAATATAATATAAATTATACAAAGGACCTTTCATGACATGCAGCCTGGTAGAGTTATTTTAAAATGAACAGAATCAATTAATGTAACAAAGAAATCAGGCAAAATAATGAAATACAATTTCATAAACACATATAACAACGTGCACACATAAATAAAAATAAGGAAAATAATAATAGTTATCAAAACCTATTGCTGGATTTGATGTAATGATGCACATGTCTAAAAATGTAAGTATTAATTTCTACCGAAAGTTGATTTTTTTTAAAACAAGTTCTCCATTCCTTAAGTCTAGTATTGTATCTAATTAACAGAAACACTTCTATATAAAATAACTTAGATATCATAATTGACGTTAACCCTTTCACCCCTATGTTACTTTAGTAGACTCTACCATGCATTGCTATGGTTGAGTCCATTTTGGTCTACTGTGGTGAAAGGGTTAAAGGAAATGTTCTCTTAAAAATCCCCGCACCACTGCCAAAAACAGCAACTAAGTTTTAGAAACTGTTTTTTCCAGCATAACTATACCGTAATAAATCATTTCTGAAAAGAAAACCATACTTTGCATGATCTCATGGAAATTGAATGATAAATGTAAAATAAACAAAATATAATCAACAAAAAGGCCCTGAGTGTAAACAATTATGTAATAATATATTGTTATACTCAAGTAACCGATTGAGCAACCTGGTCAGGAGAAGTGTACTAGCCCAAATGTGCTACAGTAAACTGTTACAGGGTGGTCGGGTGGGGCAGTGGATAACGCACTTGCCTTCCACCAAGGCGGCCGGGGGTTCGATTCCCCGATCGGACGTGAAAGATATAGGGTCATCTGCCCGACCACATGGGTTTTCTCTGGGTGCTCCGGTTTCTTCCCACAATAAGACCCATTGCATGCTAACATCCCGGCCAACAAGAGTGATTAATATAAGTTGAAATAACTTGTTTCATAATTGTTGTAAAACAACTAAAGTTTCTATTCTATTATCTAAACTGTTATATAGCCAAATGGAAGCAAAGGGGAGGCCACTGTGAATTATCTGTAGAACATTTGTTTACGAACACTTTTGATTAATTGTTGAATTTTTCTCATGCAACCATCACTTTGTTTCCTTATGAACAGATAGCATGTAGTTAGTGAATTAATAAAATCTAGGAGGAATGCAGCATGTTATGTTATTTTCAACAAACAAAAAAGTTATATATTTATTATAGCCATACGTACGCTAGTCCGCATCGTAAAATAATTACAAAGGAATCAAAACAATAGTGAAATTTGAAAAGTTATTTTTAACACATGTGGTCTCTTAAAACAGGTTCATTTTTCCATGAAATCACCACAATGAACAAATCAAAAGTGTTTTATTTTTCACAAGATGATCTCATAATAAGGGGGGTCCCTTGAGCAGGTTTGATTGTATCAGAATTTCTGTCTCAGCTTAAGCTGAACTCTTCATAGTAGAGGTAGAATATCAAACTGATTTATTTGGTTGCTAGGTGATGGTGAAGATGGCCAGTCAGGTTAATAGTAATGAATGGATGTGGGACAAAAACAAGGCCATCAACCGCAAATCTCTCATGCAGCAGATCTACCAGGATTTCGTCTCGGGCGAAGACAACTGGGATGTCCCTAAGGTAATGAAAAAACACATGAGGTGCAGTCATCCTCAATACCCCACAGGTGTAGAGAATGCAAATGTCACAGCAAAATTGACGGCAACGCGACTTCAAAGATTTTTGTTTGGTCTCTAGCTGGTAAAAATACCTGACCAATTGCTAGACTGAAACACCTGACCAATTGCTAGACTGATAACTTGCCTTTGAAGGTTTGCAGAGGAGCGACACCCGACTTCAAAGCCCTTAGGAAAGCTGCATAGCGCTACTGATTTAGTGATGCATATTCTCGTTTTACGAAGTGTTCTATGGTTGTGTTGTTAAACTGAGGCACTTCTGAGCACAATGGTTTCTATATTGTAAGCATTTCTTTCAAACAAGAATCAATTCCCTGCTATCTAGATGTCTATCCCCCCACCCCCTTAGACAGAGATATCCATACTTCCGGTCAGGGGGGGTGAGATAGGGGAATCACATGGAATCACATACGTACGGGGAAGATTCTTTCCCCGAGGGTTGAGATTCCCTATGTTACGTCAAGGGGGTGGTGAATGATGCTTTTTCTCTTAACCTTCTCACCCCATTGTGTATCATATACATAATTTAATGTTAATGTTTCAGGCTAAATGCATTGTAGATGTGACGTTTGATGGATTGTTGACTTGATGCCATTAACAATTGTTATGAATAGGGGAATCCCCTCGTCTCAACCTTAGGGTGAGACAAGAATATCTTACACCAGAAAAAAGTTTGGATAAAGTCAGGTCCATAGAAATTTCTGTCTNGGGGGGGGGGGGGGGGGGGGGGGGGGGGGGGGGGGACTCCCCTGTCATAGCAATTAAGATTAAGAATATTTTAGTCTGTAATTTATTGATGCCAGAATGATACATGTTATTGTAAAAGGCTAATAATGTGAGGCCCCTTGCAGAATCAAGAGTCTTCTTCTTTTTGCTCTGTTTGTATCTTTAGGTGAGATTTTAGAATCCCATATTGATCTATTGGCCAAATTGATTCGCTGCAGATCTTAGTTTTTCAATCTTATCTACTCTGTCTGTTTGGCAAAGTTTTTCTATATTTCTGTGACCTGTCGCCTTACATGTACATGCATAATCTTGGATGATGCAAGACCCATAAATAGTACGTTTACAAACAGAATTTTGTATTGTAGGAACAAGATCCATTTTGGGAGCCAGCAGATCAGGAAATATTAGTTGGAACTGCACATCTCCACCTCATGTCCCTGGCACATGCATTGGACATTGAGGAGACACTGGCTATCACAGACTACAAGGGAACAGAAATGGGTAAGAACTTCACCTAACTGCATGATCACACAGAAATGGGTAAGAGCTTCACCTAACTGATTAGACAGAAATGGGTAAGAGTTTCAACCAGCTGATTAGACAGAAATGGGTAAGAACTTCACCTAACTGATCATACAGAAATGGGTAAGAACTTCCCCTAACTGATCACACAGAAATGGTGAAGAGCTTCACCTAACTGATCATAAAGAAATGGGTAAGAGCTTCATCTAACTGATCACACAGAAATGGGGAAGAGCTTCACCTATAACTGATCGTTGGAACTGCACATCTCCACCTCATGTCCCTGGCACATGCATTGGACATTGAGGAGACACTGGCTATCACAGACTACAAGGGAACAGAAATGGGTAACAACTTCACCTAACTGCATGATCACACAGAAATGGGCAAGAGCTTCACCTATAACTGATCGTTGGAACTGCACATCTCCACCTCATGTCCCTGGCACATGCATTGGACATTGAGGATACACTGGCTATCACAGACTACAAGGGAACAGAAATGGGTAAGGACTTCACCTAACTGCATGATCACACAGAAATGGGCAAGAGCCTTCACCTATAACTGATCACACAGAAATGGGGAAGAGCTTCACCTATAACTGATCACCCAGAAATGGGTAAGAGCTTCATCTAACTGATCACACAGAAATGGGGAAGAGCTTCACCTAACTGATCACACTGAAATGGGTAAGAGCTTCACCTATAACTGATCACCCAGAAATGGGTAAGAGCTTCACCCAGCTGATTAGACAGAAATGGGTAAGAGTTTCAACCAGCTGATTAGACAGAAATGGGTAAGAACTTCACCTGACTGATCACACAGAAATGGGTAAGGGCTTCACCTATAACTGATCACACAGAAATGTGTAAGAGCTTCACCTATAACTGATCACCCAGAAATGGGTAAGAGCTTCATCTAACTGATCACACAGAAATGGGGAAGAGATTCACCTATAACTGATCACACAGAAATGTGTAAGAGCTTCACCTAACTGATCATAAAGAAATGGGTAAGAGCTTCACCTAACTGATCACACTGAAATGGGTAAGAGCTTCGCCTAACTGATCATAAAGAAATGGGTAAGAGCTTCACCTAACTCATCATAAAGAAATGGGTAAGAGCTTCATCTAACTGATCACACAGAAATGGGGAAGAGATTCACCTATAACTGATCACACAGAAATGGGCAAGAGCTTCACCTATAACTGATCGTTGGAACTGCACATCTCCACCTCATGTCCCTGGCACATGCATTGGACATTGAGGAGACACTGGCTATCACAGACTACAAGGGAACACAAATGGGTAAGAACTTCACCTAACTGCCTGATCACACAGAAATGGGTAAGATCTTCACCTATAAATGATCACACAGAAATGGGTAAGACCTTCACCTATAACTGATCACACAGAAATGTGTAAGAGCTTCACCTAACTGATCACACAGAAAGGGGTAAGAGCCTTCACCCAACTGATCATACAGAAATGGGTAAGAACTTCCCCTAACTGATCACACAGAAATGGGCAAGAGCTTCACCTATAACTGATCGTTGGAACTGCACATCTCCACCTCATGTCCCTGGCACATGCATTGGACATTGAGGAGACACTGGCTATCACAGACTACAAGGGAACAGAAATGGGTAACAACTTCACCTAACTGCATGATCACACAGAAATGGGCAAGAGCTTCACCTATAACTGATCGTTGGAACTGCACATCTCCACCTCATGTCCCTGGCACATGCATTGGACATTGAGGATACACTGGCTATCACAGACTACAAGGGAACACAAATGGGTAAGAACTTCACCTAACTGCCTGATCACACAGAAATGGGTAAGGGCTTCACCTAACTGATCACACAGAAATGGTTAAGAGCTTCACCTAACTGAACACACAGAAATGGGTAAGAGCCTTCACCCAACTGATCATACAGAAATGGGTAAGAACTTCACCTAACTGATTACACAGAAATGGGTAAGAGTTTCACCCAGCTGATTAGACAGAAATGGGTAAGAGCTTCACCTCACTGATCACACAGAAATGGGTAAAAGCTTCACCTATAACTGATCACAAAGAAATGGGTAAGAGCTTCACCTAACGGATCACACAGAAATGGGTAAGAGCCTTCACCCAACTGATCATACAGAAATGGGTAAGAACTTCACATATAACTGATCACACAGAAATGGGGAAGAGCTTCACCTATAACTGATCGTTGGAACTGCACATCTCCACCTCATGTCCCTGGCACATGCATTGGACATTGAGGATACACTGGCTATCACAGACTACAAGGTAACAGAAATGGGTAAGAACTTCACCTAACTGATCATACAGAAATGGGTAAGAACTTCCCCTAACTGATCACACAGAAATGGTTAAGAGCTTCACCTAACTGAACACACAGAAATGGGTAAGAGCCTTCACCCAACTGATGATACAGAAATGGGTAAGAGCTTCACTTAACTGCATGATCACACAGAAATGGGCAAGAGCTTCACCTATAACTGATCGTTGGAACTGCACATCTCCACCTCATGTCCCTGGCACATGCATTGGACATTGAGGAGACACTGGCTATCACAGACTACAAGGGAACACAAATGGGTAAGAACTTCACCTAACTGATCATACAGAAATGGGTAAGAACTTCAGCTAACTGATCACACAGAAATGGGGAAGAGATTCACCTATAACTGATCACACAGTAATGGGTAAGAGCTTCACCTATAGCTGATCACACAGAAATGGGTAAGGGCTTCACCTAACTGATCACACAGAAATGGGTAAGAACTTCACCTAACTGATTAGACAGAAATGGGTAAGAACTTCACCTATAACTGATCACACAGAAATGGGTAAGATATTTTGAGGTGTCTTTACTTTTAGAAAAATTATTTAACAAACCAAATATTTTTATTATAAATGCTGATGACTATTTTTGTAGGTCATATGTGTGTATATGCAAAGCCATGCACAAAGGATTACCAGGACTTAGCAGAGGATGATTTTGTTGATGAGCCAAATGACCAAATTGGCAAAAATTTCTATTTCATTCTCAAAATTGACAACTGCAGAGGACTGCCTCAAAACATAGCAAAGGTAATAATTAATTACTTTTCAATTTTATTGTATCACAATCAGATAAAGGGAATTAAATGTACTTCATACACCTGCATGGGCTTTAATGCATTAAATACTGATCATTTCTCAATCATCTGTGTTATGAATGTAATTGTGTATATATACCTCAATGGCCTTAAGCAAGGACAGGAATTAACTGTACTTTTGATCAACTGAATGATTTATGAGTCATACAATGAATCTGCTGCACCCATTGCAATATTTGGGATATTTATCTTTCTTTCTACTTCTAATTATAACTACCTATTTTTTCCTAGCGCCTTGCTTGGCAACACCACACGTTTGGCTTTAATGTTGAGCGTTTGCCCAGGTGAGAAAAGCAATGGGTTCTCTCCCCTGGCCAAGATATACCAGAGTCTGTAAAAATGGTAGTTTTTTACTAATACTAAACGCTTAGCAATTTAGGAGTGGGACGACTGGTTCGCCCGTTGTCAGTATAATGTGACCAGGTGGGGTGTCCTGCAGGGTGTCTTCGGCAGTATGTTTCAGTGAGGTAGCACTATAAAGTCAGCATCAGTTCTGCGCTATCATAAGGTGATACATGTAAACACGAACATATCGCAGCCTCCCAAAACACACACGCATACACTACACACATGCATCTTGCACACAGAGGAGGCCGTCCTTAAATGACCATAGCTGTTGATAGGACGTTGAACAATACTAAACCAAACCACACTAAACCAGCTATCTATAGTCAACGGTTGTACCATTCCCCTATCACGCTTCAGTTGATCAAAATCTAAAACCATATTAAGGGGGGATTTCAGTACATATGAAAAACTGTTGTGGAATTCTTAAATGATTTCCCTGCAGTAGGACAATTCTTTGGAATCACAAACATTTAAGGATCCCTGTGATCCTTAAATGTTTGTGATTCCAAAGAATTGTTGTATATGATAAGAAATGCTATATGATGTTCTTGTGATTTCCCTGCACTTTCAACCTGTTTCTTATTTCCTTCTTCTGATTTCCAAATTCGTTTTCTGGCATAAAAATGTAAATATATGTCTATTGTCGCTATCACATTGTTGTAGTACAATTGTTGAGGAGAGGGCTTTTATAAGTTGTCATAACTTGTGCCCAATCCTCTTGCTTGAATTTATAAGCAATGAAATATGTTTAAACTAAAAAAAGGAATGTAATGCAACTGTGATTACCTCCCTTTACATAGTGAGTGTTAATAACAGTTGCTTGCAATTGCTTCTTATTTTCCTACAAGAATAAAATGGAATTGATTTGTATTTTAAGGTGTGTGTAGTTAGTTTTTCCCGTTTCTGTGTGGAGTGGTTATGACGGCTGTCTATCTATGATCACTAGCCTTCTACCACTGCGTTGTGGGTTAAACGTCCATTGGGCAGTCACCAGGTTTTGTCCACAGGTCGGTGTTTTTTCTCCAGGTTCTCCAGTGTTCCTCCACCACCAACACATGGCATGTCCTTAAATGACCATAGCTGTAAATAGGATGTAAAATACAAACAAATGTGGCAGATTTAAATTGTACATAGGATTAAGGTCACCTTCTAACTTCAAGCTAGGGGAAATTTTCCTTTAGCTCAGTAGTAGAGCGTCTGACTAGGAACCTAGGGATCGTAGGTTCGATCCCAGGTGGAAGCACACTATTCTCTTTCCTGTTACACAAACAAACAATTCATGTTGTCAGAGTCGCTGTAAGTACAAGTACTACACCGATGACAAGTTCACTGAGACAAATGAGATGGAAAGTATGAACCCAAACTTCAACTTTGAAAAGAAATACAAGCAGACACCGGTTACTGAACAAGTAAGTGAAAAATACAGGAGATGAAATATTAATATTTAAACACAGCAATGAGTACCCTGTGTCCGGTTTCATATTTGTCAAAACTCACTCTACACTCGTCAATACATGTTGATTTAAAGAAACATTTATTTAAGTTTACTGAAAAAAAGGTTTGCAATTTCGACTAAATTTGGATAAAATTTGCTGTGATATACGTAAACCTTTTGTTATCTCCTGTGGGTCGGCAACTATTCCCTCGCCTGACAATATTCCAAGGCCATGCATAATTTGTGACCTAAGCAAAAGACGATAAGGGATTTAATTCTAATATTTAATACTAATAGCATGTGATGGACAATAAGTATGAGTTCATTTGACTGATTCAAATATCTATGAAGAAATCATGAAATACAATGCAAATTCTGAATAATTTTTGCATTGTAGTACATCACCTATTTGAACAACGGTTCCATTGTGATTGAGGTGTGGGGAAGACAGAAAAGTGACTCTCAAGAAGGTGCAACTTCAAAAGGTGCTGCCAAACCAGCCGCCAAACAGAACGCCAATAACACTGCCCAAAAAGTGAGTTTTTAATTGAAAGCAGATTGTTATCAAATAAATGGATTTTTTATATATCTTTACTTCAAGATAAAATAGTTTTAGCTCGCGCTTGTCCTGAAGAAAGAATAATTTAGCTTATGTCATGGCATAGCATCTGTCTTAAGCATTATATATAAAATCTCCTTCTCATCAACTATAGCTGCTTAAGGAATTTCAAGGAAACTTAGTATGGAATATCTCCAGATGGGGTTCTTACTTTTAAAAGTTGCCGTGGATCTTAGAGTCTCAAAATTGTACAAAAAGGATAAACCCCTGGTGGAGCTGAGAGAAGGGGGCCAAACAATTATAATTTGGTCATATTGCTTTAAATAGTTTCTTTTCTAGAACTGTGTAATAAATATGAACCATGAGTGAAAGCATTCTGAGATGTTAAAGAGCTAAATTGTACAAATGAAGGTCCGACCTCTTGGAGTCGCATGAGGGATGTGTAGTGAGTGTGACCATAATGGTTTAAGCAATTTTAATTAAAAAATCAAGTGATGGATATTAACCATGTTTATCGGTAAACCTCCTTTTTACTGGCATTGTTAATATCTAATAAGACTATATTGTTTTGCTTGCTTTAAAATCCAGGGAAACACTACAGACACTTTGGGCCTTTTGCTAGATTGCATGCTGACCTCACTATATCTTGTGACAATAGAATTAGTGTAAGGAAGTATTAGCAGATGGTACGATATCTAATGACCATAGATTTATTGCGAGTATTTGAAATATGTTTTGTTCATCATTGTAGAAAACAGACACCAAGACATCAGCCAATGACAACAAAAGTAAGCCTGCGCCAGCCCCTGCTGCCGCCCCTGCTGCCGCCCCAGTAGTTAAACAGGACCCTAAGATGGCCGTCGAATTGGACAATTACAAAAAACGAACAAATGAAGCAGAAGGCAAATTGGTAAGAGTGCTATCACTTTTGTCGTAAGATGACTTTAGTGTCCATGTCTCTGTTTAGAAAGGTATACCTATCAGCACCTCGACAGAGGTGATGCTGACGTGTTGGTTCATCAATAAATTGTCAGTTTATGTGTTTTCAGAGGTCTGTAAATAATATGATTATTTTTTTTTGCATTATAGGGAAGCATCCAAAATCAACTTGCCGCAAAACGCAAGACTGGACAAACCACCATAACGGTAAGTTCTATATATCATTGTCATTTACATATTGCCATTTACATATTAGTTCCATAATTATCATTCTTAACATATCTTAATTTACATATCGTTTACATATCATTATTAACATATTATCATTTACATTTCATTTACATATCATTTAGGTATCATCATTTTTAGCTCACCTGCCCAAAGGGCACGTGAGCTTATGCCATGGTGCGGCGTCCGTCAACTTTTCCTAAAAATCACTTCTAGTCATAACTGACTGAGCAGATTTTGACCAAATTTGGTCAGAAGCATCCATAGAGAAAGGGGAACAAATGTATAAATGGTGGGTCTGGCACACCCTGGGGGCTGAAGGGTGGGCCCAAATAGGGGAAATATAGTAAATTCTTTAAAGTCCTTCTTCTTCTGAAGGAATGAAAGGATTTGTTCCATATTTGGTCTGCAGCATCCTTGGGTGAAGGGAAACCAATTTTGCCGGGCCAAAAGGGGGCAATTGGGCTATATTGATTTAAGCGACTTCTTCTCTGGAACTAAGAGATGAATATCAACCATATTTGACTGGAAGCATTCCTCGGTAGTGGAGTTTCAAAATTGTACAAATAGTTGGGCTGACCCCCCATGAATATGCCATGAATATCAATCATATTTGGTANACCCCCACCCCCACCCCCTTGCTAAGGAGTGGGGCCAAAAAAAGTTTCTTACTTGGAAATGGTTGAAATGGTTGAGATCCCCACAGTGTAACCATATATACCATATATACAATTGTGGAGTATAAAGAGAAGCATGCACATTTGCTTCCAGGATGGCCTTGGGTCTGGTCCCACCCTTTGAGACATAGTCCCTTGGCTATAACTTTGAAACGGTTGAGATCCCCACCCTAAAATGATATATATAATTGTTGGGCATAAAGAGACGAATGCAGTCATGATATTAGAATTGACTCCAGGGTCTGCCCCACCCTTGCAGACTTAACCCCTGGGTCATAACTTTGAACGGTTGAGATCCCCACTGTTAGACTATAAATACAAATGCTGGACAAAAAGAGATGAATGCAGTCATGATATTAGAATTGATCCTGGGGTCTGGCCACAATACTAGAGATCTAGTTTCTGAGTCACATCTTGGAAACAGTTTAGATCCCCTCCCCATAACCATACATTAATTTGCTGGGCATGAAAAATCTAATACAGACATACTACCAGAATTGGTATTGGGGTCTGGCAAATTCCCTTGGATCTCGTCGGAGAATATTTTGCCATGATTGCTTAGATATCCAGGTGAGCGATACAGGCCCTCTGGGCCTCTTGTTACTTATCATTTACATAATTATTTACATATCACAATCAACATGTCATCATTAGGATATCATAATTAACATATCACCATTTGATAGTAAGAGAGTGTTGTTGAGGGCAAGGTAAAAAACATAAGTACACTAAACATACTTGCAGTAATGCAAGAAAATAAATTTATTTGATGACATTTTCTTACATACCTAAATCCCACCCTCGTATGACCCTGGCTGCTGCGAGGACGTTAAACCACAAACAAACAAACATACCTAAACATATATAAGATATATTTCACTGTTTCAGATACATTACAACACACATTATTTTATTTTTATCAATTGATTTTCGTTAAAAGAGGAATATTGGTGTATTGTTGTTTTTTTATATTATTTTTTTCATAATTATTTATTCCAGATTGATGAGCTTGAAGCCATGTTAGGTGGTGGAAACGGAAGCAAAGCGGGTGGTGGAAATGTGGACAATAATAGAAATGAGAACCTGGGAGAAAACACCTCTAAAGCGTGTGTTATCCAATAGGAATATCAATATCATCCAATCAAAACTGAGCAATAATCAACCTCTATTGAACAATATTTTATTTGGGGTTAAGGTGTTTATTAATCAATTTTAATGACTTAAAATTATAAATCTGTCCATTGCACTGGAATATTAGCAGTTTGTTGATGCTCTGAAAACTATAATAATTTACCACTAACTGAAAGAGTGGATTTTTTCACTAATTTCATATCACCCTTATCAGCATGAAATTTGCATATGCAAATATGTTTATAAACTAAATAGCAGATATATATTGCTATAAACATTGTTAGATGCAGAAAGCATCGAAATTGAGTTTGAGGCTGTTTATCATAACGTACGTAGTAGATATAACCTTCGTTAACGTTAGAGAAATAGCTACCTGAATGCATGGTGTTCTCAATTCTCAATGTTGATTATGACAAAATTGTTAATGTAACTTGACAGAATTACATATGATGTCTTTCAAGAATCACGATTTGTTATTCTAGTCTACCTTATAATATTTTATATCATACCTGGGCTTAGGTATATAGAGAATAATACATGTCTTTTTCCATATCACATCCAGTATCAACCTGAGACTTCAATATCAGCCCGAGGGCCAAAGGCCTGAGGGCTGCTATTGGTCGAGGGTTTATACTGGGTGTGATATGGAAAAAGACGTGTTTTATTCTGTTTATTACATATACTTACTAATAAAAGCAACTATCTTATGATATATTTTTCTGTTGAAATATTGAAAAATAAATAAGTTCCAAAAAGGGTGTGATACGGGTTTTGCGGGCTGATACAGGTTTTGGGGTGTGATACAGCGGGGGCTGATATGGGGTTTGGGGTGTGATACAGCGAGGGCTGATATGGGTTAGAGCAATTATGTCGTATGGCATATACAAAAAAACTGTATTTATTAGTAAGTATGTAATAAATATATATAATGAATAGGGGTATGGGAAATACTTAAGTTGTTAAATTTGAGAAAGGTTAAGAATGGGTGTTATATGGTGGTGATTGACTACAGTCTTACAAACACGTGATATATGTATTTTGTGGACAAGAGAGTTTATATTTTGTAAACAAACATGTTATGTATGATTACCATTTTATGTATAAATATGCATGAGCAGAAATTTTACCATCAATAACATCGATCCTGTTATCAATTGCATATTTATATCTTTGATATCATCCAATTTCAATTTCAACAAATTTTATTGACAGTAGAATATTCAAATGTAAAAAGGATTTGACAATACGCTTAAAGCATATATAAGTCCTCTATCCAAGTCAAATATCTTCTATTTGAAAACAATGTTTTGTCAGGCATTATTTTATAATACTTTTGATTTAAAATTTGTTTTAATACTTTATAAATTCCCCTGAATACATAAGTTCAGGGCCTTTTATCATATGCAATCGGCTACCGGCATTTTACTTACATTGGTATATAGATGACTTGTTTTAGTATTGTATACATATTTGCTACATGATTTAATGGTATAATTATAGTTCTGAATATAGCTCTCCGATACAAACATGATCCTGAAACAGTACAAAATGGTCATTTGAAAAATCAGTGATTTACTTTGCCTAGTTTTACAACCGAAAACAGACTTTTAACTGAAAGTAAAAGTGCTTTATTTTCCCCAAATGAAGCAAAATTGAGGAATTTCTTCCCAATTTAAATGAAAATATTGATACATTTCGCCAGTTCTTGTAGGAACAGGCTGTTGTAAAATTTACGTGGAAAGGGCATTGTAGATTAAATTGATTTGGACTTAACCTCAAATTGAAAAAAAAAAAAAAAAAAAAAAAAAAGTTCTAAGACATTACAATAACGATGTTCTATTGTAATTTAATTTTCTAACAAATGTTGTATTTAATTGTTTGTGTTCCGCATTGCTAATTTCATTTCTGCAATGACATTTCAAAATTACATTTGAAAAATAATAGTAATAGTATGAAATCCATTTAACCGTACCACTCCAAGATACTGTAACTAAGTGCTGGAAACTGTCTTTCGGTATGACTTTAATTAAACAATTGGTGATTGATTCGTCAAAGAGATATTGCTTAATTCTGAGGCATAAAAATGTTTGAAGAAAATCTGACATTAGTATCAAATATATATATCCTGAATGTAGTGAATTCATGGCATTATAGTATTTTATATAACCAAGGTTTATTATCAGGTTTCCTCGTTCATAAAACAATCATCTTTATATGGTTCCTGAGTAAAACCTTCATTAATGCTAGTTGTTTATTTCCGTCACGTGTTGCTATTTATAGTATCAATTACGATGGGTCATACCGAGAGTTTACGTTATAACACTGGCACTTTCTTGTTAATATGTATATACAATTGCATTATCGTTCCGTCCTGTCTTGTTATACTGTAAACAGGGTATTCCTGCTGGCAGGTTTTCACCGTAGAAACAAATTTTCGTTTTATCTGGCAGGGCCACCCTAGAAAAAATAACTTTTTATTTAATGCATGAATACATCAATACATGTATTAAATTAAATGCGGAATAATTCAATACAACAATAAACATGAAGCAAATGCTTTGGTAGTTATATTATCTGGCAGGGCAACCCTAGACAAAATAACTACATGCTTAATACATTGATACATGTGTGAAATTAAATACCGAATAATTTCATACAATAATGTACATTGATTTATGTATCAAATTAAATATGGAATATTATAATTCTCAAAATCATCAAGGCTATTGCGATAATCCAGGTATGCAAAAAACAATAACTATGTGAACAAGTCAATATCTATGTACACGGATCGCTGGGAGGTACGTATACATCAGCGTTATTTCCTTTGCAAACAAACAACATACCAGGTTGTTGGAGTTTTGCTCGATTATTATGATATTATACACAATGTAATTTTATGGGATTTGAACTTAGATGAAACTTGCTGTATACATACAGGTGATTCGTGAAATATGTATGTATATTTTTCTTTATTCTGCATTTCAATGTAGATATTACATTTAATAAAAAAATAATAAAATATTTTTATAATTTTTTTAATGTTTAATTAAAATCAAAATATATTGCTCAAGTAAAATAGTTTCAACTTGTTATGTACATTGTATTATTTGATTCAATCGCTTTTACATCCACCGTGAAATGGTTTTATCGTTCCAATATATAAAGCTGTGTCTCCCGTACAACTTTTATCAATGAAGTTGTCTACGAATGTATTTGTATATTTAGAATTGAATATATACCCATTCGTCGTCCCGGGGCATTGATCCATGTTTGATCCGTCCATTAAATGATTTATTGATTTTGTGAAAAGAGTGTTTATTTTGTTGACAGTATGTCTGTATCAGTGTATATTTAATCTAATGTGTAAACATTAACAGGAAAATATTTCGGGTTGGTTTCAACGTCAAAATTTGTTCCTATATGTATTATAAAAAAAAGAAACAGAACAAAAATAACTTTACAATTCATAATTGTTCATTTAATGCAATTTTTCAGAATCAAAATGCCCTGCATAATTAAACAGGCCTATATTTATAATAAACTTCCTTACTAGAAAAACCAACGTGTAACACTTGTTGTTGATGTTGTTGATATGTATTGTGTGCAATGATCTAACTTGTTAATCAAATTAAATACTTTATTTCTTACGACTTGTATTTGTCTTTATTCCCGGCATAATCATGAAAAAGTGTTAAAAAAAAGCAATCTAGTTTCAACAAATTTCATGCGTATATAACGTGTACTTCTTTAAATGACCATAGCTGTAAATAGGACGGAAAACACAAACAAAAACAACCCCGAATTGTTATAATTATAAAGATAGCGTTTCCAAGCCTTCATTGGTCAAATGTGGAATAAATAATTGTTGATTTATAAAATCACAAATATTGAATACATGTATGATTACACATTTTCATTACTTAATACATTCTGAATTCGATTTATTTATTCATTGTCATTGTCTCTGTGTTACGGAATCAGGAACTATAGTTTATATTTTACAACATTTAAAACTGTTGCAATGTTTACCACTATTTTCCCGCCGAGTCCCGATGCGAGCTTACATAGAATTGAGTGAAGATTATTCCTCGACCCGTATTCATGAAACCGTTCTAATGCTCATACATGGATTTTGTGCCAAGCCTAATTTCTTGTTCAGATTATAAGTTATCAAAAGATTCTTATTTTGTCAAAGGAAAAAACCGAATAGACTAAATGCCGTTTACCGTTTACAATGTACTTTTCATCGTTTGACATGATTAAAGTGAATTACAAGAAGGAAAGCTGGTTTAGGCACAGAAACCATGCTTGAGCATAAGAACACTTTCATGAATACTGACCCTGTTATACCAATTCTTAAAACCCCTTTAGATTTCATAGTTAATAAACAATTGTTGTTTTATAATACGTGCACAAACTTCATAGGGCATGTACCTCATATATAAACAGAATATCCTTGGGATATTTCATATAAGGTTCAAATACTTGGATTTCGGCTCAGTTGCTTAAGATATACATCAAAATAATCAGAGCATTTTCTTGTCATGAAAATCAAAGAAAACTACTGCGATCCGTCTCCTTCTGTCGACGTAGGTTGACTTACAGATGAATTGGTTCCATTCAAAATTGACAGGGACCATGTGATCGGAATCTTCCTTTGTTAAATTCGTGGGTTTCACCTGTATATGCTCTTCATAAGAGACAAACAAGGAGATAATTATTACAAATTTTGGGTTCATTTTCGGCCTATATATTAATTGTTTTTCTTCTTTATCCACAATGTAATTACAATCCAAACAGTGTTGATAATAATGACGTCAGCTCCCGTAGGATTTCTTGCGACAAACCGAAATTCTCTGAAGTACTGCTGTTCAGAAAATGAAATTCCATTTGTCCAAGTTCTTGCAAAAATACTGTTTTTTATGATATTGTGCTATCATGTGAAAATCTGTCAATGTTATCTTGCATCCGACGATATCGCATCCGGGTCTGATATTAGTTACACCAAACGCTCAGTCAGGGTCCGCTGTGAAAGGCATGATTTGTTTTGATTGTCTACAGGATATATTGACAAGGGGGGAGGCGTACTGGAATAGCTAGCAAGCATTACGATGTAAAATATATGAAGATGACAGACAGCTAAATTAACAGAGAGAAAAAAACGAAAAATAAAAACACAACTAGGGTTTCATTTTCATGGCAATATAGGAGTGTTCGTAGAAAGTATGCAAAACAACGTGAGACGGAAAACTCATTTTTTAAAGGTTTGCTTGTAACTAAAGAATGTATAACAGAAGAAAGAGAAATGCACTGCTAGATCGGGATTCGAACACTGGATCCTATGGAGATACCTGGTCGCCGACGATCGACCCAAATTCCGCTACATTCCCCCCTCCGTTTTCTTAGACTTCGCCCTCGAAGACACAACTACTTGCCAAGCAATCACAAGGGTTGGCAAGCTCGCCAATTTTCTGTTAGGAGAAAAAAATGCACGGTTAGACCGGGATTCAAACCCAGGACTCTCCAAACAATAGCTAACGCTCTATCTGGTCACCGACGATCGACCCAGTCAGTTCCGCTACAAAATTATGTTAATGTATTATTATTTTCATGTCGGACAATTAAGTGATCATGGGTCTGATATATAGAACAGCCATAAAACACCTCTAATTATATAATTACTTTCTGCCTTTTCCTGCTACTTTGTCAGAAATAGACTCCAAAACATTATTTATTTAGATGCACGCCATTATAAAAATTGTAATTAAAATTTGCTATCCACTAATTTAGTTGCTAATTGATTATGTTACACATGATAAACTTTGTAAGGTAAATGAGCATCTTGGTAATTAACAAAACTATTTGCTGCGTTCAATATAACGCGACTTTCTAAACAGTAAATCGCATCGATCCACAGAGTGGGAAACCCTTACAGATCAATCAGTTATAATAATTGCTTAATTTCGTTACATTAAAAATGCAACACTTACCGGAAAGTTTCAGATGTGTTAAGTGTTAGTAATTTGTATTAGTTGCCATAACAGAAACACTAATCATATAGTTTGTTTATTAGTTAAGGGCTTAACGTCCTCAAAATAGCTGTGCTAAACTTAAGACTATGGGCGATGGGGTCTTTCGAAGTATCCTTAAACGCATTAACATCGCTGCTATCTCGCACACCTAGCAGCATCAAATCTTGACCGGTCACATTCATCTGACAACTTCAAAACCGCGGAACAGAAAGAGGACAAATGATAGGTAGCAAGACCGAATCTCAAATGTTGCTATGGGGAGGGGGGCAACAGATTTATAGGGAACACAAATATGATTTCAGTTACCTCTGACGATCATACAATTAAATACGACAGAGGAAAAGGAAATAGTTGGAATATTGTTCTAGAAGAAACCATAATGCAACGCGGGAGTCAGACCTGGATTTAAAGCCTGGACCTTCGAACTCAAAACAGTCGCTCTAACCACAGGGGTTCGTTACAAATGCTGAACTGATCGATATTTACTTGTCAAAAGTACCCAATCAGAAGACGCGTGCGGCCTCTTATTTGTAGCCCCATACGATCATGTAGTGATCTTCCTCCGTGATCGCCATCATAATCATCGGAAATTATTTTATTTCTAAATGCAATAAGGATTTCGACGTCACTGATTGTGCTCCTAAGTGCGTCGTTTGTTTTCGTTGTCATTTCCCTTGTTCTTACTTTGTTAACATGGCATTGTTTGATTTTGACCTAGATTTACAGGGCGAGTATCTTCGCTGAAGCACAATACTTTTACCTATTCTGATCACCCGGTATTATCCTTCGTTTTGCTTTTACACTGGTCTCCATGATAATATTCCTTTCCTAGTTTCATCGATATTGTGTTCGAAATAAAGTTTGTTTTACATAATTCTCAAACCTGCGCATCGACCAAAATTAGTCGCCACTCAAAAGCATGCAGTGTTAACTGACATGCTAATCCTTTTTAATATTCAAATCATGTGTGTGACGCCGAGCGATATTTCAATGATATTGTTCGGGTACCTCAGATGTTCCTCTAGAAACGGTCGTTATATGATGTTGTGATGTTTAAAAAATTCTTTTAATGAAAATGAAACCAATAAAAGATGTATAGCTACCTATCGCTGAAAAGGTTTCAGGAGCGTATCAACGTAAGCAGCCATCGAGTGCATGCATGGCTTATATGACGTTTAAAATGTTGAATAAGCATGGACCAATGAAATATTTATTTGAAAAGCGTGTGTTAAGGCAGTCGTGCCAGACAGACTGTCAGCTACTGCTGCTAAACTTAATCCTGCTATTAAGTTCCACGTTTTGTGTTGGTGACCTGCCTCGTCTCAATGCCGATACATTTGCTGAACTAGATTGCTATCGCACACCAAACCTTTTCACTACATTAAATGGTCATGTAAACAGCTATCCGAGTCGGATCATTGCTGGATTTGTTTGGTTATTGATGTATACTAAAAGCAGGTAATTACAGACAGCACCGCCTCCCAGTGTCACGTGCGTCTCAGTGTGAAGGGAATTACTGCACACAGTAAATGCTTTGCGTAATAAGTTAGTGGTACTACGAGATGGAGAGTGTTACCCTGAGGTAAGTTATTTTGTATTTAGTGAAACAATCTTCAATATCCTTTAAAAGTTGTAATGCATTTTAAGTAAATAACTATGTTTTACAAAAGGATAAAGTACACAATACTAATTGTGCATCTCTGATTAATTTTAACTGAAATTACATCTAAAAATATATATTTGTAAAATCGTGAAGGGTTGTTTGATAGCCCAATGTCAACACCACTGTGTCTTTGAAGAACAGAGTGAGCTTACTGCGTTCCAATCTATTATTGAGAGAGAGAGAGAGAGAGAGAGAGAGAGAGAGAGAGAGAGAGAGAGAGAGAGAGTTTCTTCCTTTATTAGTTAAAAAGTCTCTTCTAAGAAGACATTGAGGACATTGAAGCACGTTGATCCTTTATCTTTTCATTTAACCTTTATCTTCCCTTTTCCAATAAACGATGTGTCAAAAGAGCGTCCCAATGCAATGCTGGTTATATGATTGTAAACATAAATTGTTTTAATGCGGTGTGATGACACCACATTCAAGGTATGTCATTCTAGTGTGTAACACGTTACATTTACTCTCGACTGGTTCCATCATCATCATTTCCATAATGTGAAAAATCGTATTACAAGATCAGACAACTGCTCCTTGTGAGACATAATGTTAGTTTAGAGGCAATCGTTGATAAATGATAATAATAATAATTCGAGGTTCTTATATACCGCTCTATCACAACCTAGTTCCTAGGTAGTCTCAAATTAAAAGCGGTTCACAAATTATTATCCGTGATTATAGGGCCAATATCTTTCTCAACTCCATGGGGAGCACACAGCCGGTGCTGCCATTTCGGCGCTCACAGCTAACATTCAACAATTCCAGCATCGCCCAGCCACGTACTTATTTACAGCTGAGTAGACTGGAACAAGCGGAGAAATGTATCTTGCTCAAAGATACAACAAAGTGCTAGTAACGTGACTTGAGCTCGTTACCCTTCGGTCACAAGCCCGACGTCCTACCACTAGACTACTGTGCCTCCACTTATTAATAATAAATAGAAGCACCAAAACCATTGCTCTACGATTTGTTATATGAAATACAGATAATTTATAGAAAAACAGTGGATGTCGCCATTGTTCCTTTTAAAGGGGATCAGGTTTTTGTATAAGGATGTCTAAAGAACGACGATACCTTGAGATATTCTTGGAAACGTGTTAGTCAAAACCTTCATAACCTTCTACTCCTGGCCCAGGGATCATGAAACAATCTTAGACTTAAGTTTTTGCTTAGCCAATCACGCATGATGTCACTTTTCATGACGTTAGTTGTGATTGGTCAAGTTCAAACTGAAGTCAAATTTAGACTTAAGATCACTTCATGATCCTGGGGCCAGGTCTCTCTAATACTGATATCATGACTCTAGAACTCATAGTTATGAAGAGGAGGTTCATCTTTTGAATTTTTAACATGCTGTATTGATGTTGCTTTTTCTTGCATTATCTTCACTACAATTAAGTCTGTGTCGCTGCTGGTGGACCATTTGTCCACTAAGGCTGGCACTTGATTCATAAATGTTATTGATTTCTATTTTCATTTTGCTCTTCATGTAGTTTCTATACTAGAGGCTCCAAAATAATCTTTATTATCCTTCGTTCATGTGTTTTCAAATATTTTGCCACTCTCATAGTGGATTAAATTTTATTAGTCGAATTAAGCATGTACGGTGCATTCTATTTGGTATTTCTTGCATTTTATCGACTGACGTGCAGATTCAAGTAAATAATTTATCTGAGATATCATTCTTCATTTTCGTTAAGAATGTCTATGTTAGGAAAAAAACAAGAAGTGAATTTGACTTTTGCAAATACCTTGCAACAAATATCCTGATAAAATATTATGACGTTATTGCAAAAGACTAAATACACTGATGACAATAGTCACAAATACGTGAGATATAATATTTAAATTACTCGTTCCGCCTCCTCTAACATAAATTTTAAATGGATCATTATTCATCCAGATGAATTCCTTCGATACTTTAGATGTTAAGGGTTTAACTTCCTTCAATAGCTAAGGTCATTTAAAGACGTGCCTCCATGTGTGTTGTGTATGCGTGCATGTTTGTGTGTGTGCCGGAGACAGGGTATTTTGGAGTATGTGCCTCCTTGTAATAGCGCGGATCTGTTGCCGACCTTATAATGTTATCTTCTTGAAATACCATGCCGAAGGCACCCAGCACAGCATTCCGCTCAGTCACATAATACTGACAACGGATGGACCAGTCATTGGCATAACCTTAAATACCGAACGTTAAGCAGGGAATAGCAACTTTCATTCAGACACCATTACCTTCCTCACTCGGGCGAACCTTCAACACTAAAGCAAAATGTGGGGTATTGCCAGGAAAGGCGCTAGGGAATAAAAGGTAGTTAGAAGTAGAGATAAAGATCCCAAATATTACAAGTGGCTCAGCAAATATATTTTGGTCGCTTTTGTGTCCCCAAGTAGAGGGCCCAAAACCAAACTCCCGATTCTGCAGGGGGGTTCCAAATTGGTCGCCTCTTACGATACATACAGTTGGTTACAGTGGGTGTTTTCGTTTCTCGATTCCCGACCTGCAGGGGTTTGAGAAACAGAATAAGTATAAGCCTCATTCGGCGCTGGAAAAAACATACCGGCACACGATTTAGACGTTTGTGTAAACTGGACAAATGTTTCACAAACTGATCAAAGGACGTCATCTACAGAATCATGAGGATTACTCAAATTTGGTCTAAAATGTTCAGAGCAGAAATTCAGTTCAACCGATGTTGTTGTTTGGTTAATATAAGAGAAACAATGGATGAAGAATTGAAAACAGTGCTAAAAAAGAATCGAACAAGTTACTGACAAAAGTTCTTGATTGATTGATATTATACTGTAGCTGTTGTAAGGGGGTCCCAAACTATATATACAGGTTCATACAAACTAATCACGAAACCATTGTATCCGAGTTACATTATAATGAGGAGTGAAACATCGTCGGTGTCGTTCAATTGCAATCATTTTCACGTATGAACAGAGTTCAGCTAATTGATTTCTATCGATAATTCCTTATACAATTTACAGTTTTAACATTATATATAAGTAACAGCATGGTAAATCATGACATAGTTCCCCAAGTCGTTCTTTGTGTGTGCACCATAACAATTTAAGATGAAGTGTTTTATGTAGCAATTTTAAGACTAGAATTACCTTTCTTCATCAGATATTCTGAAATGGATTGCAGCATCAGGGCATTTCGGTACGTTACCAAACAACTATTTTTTTAAACAGCCTTTCGTTTCCTCCACATAATGAGTATTTTCTGTTTGAAATCCTTTAATGCTTCTATATTACCTTCTAATGGTTTCATGTCAAATATTGGATCATTATTGATCGAAGACGTTTTTTCATTCGGCAATGAATGAGAACCCTCAAAGACCGGAATTGCTTAGCAACTGTGACGTCATAAATGTTTCAATAGACGGATCTGACGTTACTTTGACTGTTAATCGTTTAGTTGAATAATCACGATTGATAAAGTGCGTAGACGATCAACAAGTGTTTTTCACCAATTATGGAACTATTCCCTTAAAATGATAAGGACATTTTGAACAGACATTCAGCTAAACGGCCGCTCACCTATACGCAAACTTAAGGACAACACGTATAAATGTATTCATAACACAGAACTTCGCGGAACTCTTCGCACGGACGTCGGATCTCCCAATCTCCCCATGTATCCATTTAGTTTCACGCGCTGATGTTCAATTGTATGCAGTTTGCATGTTCATTTTTTGTTTAAATACCTCTATGACTAGTCAACATGATTCTTTTATCAATGATTTATTGGAAAATAAATATTTTACAGAATATTCATGTCCAAGAAGACTTATTTTTATATTTTACAATCGATATTTCAACCTTTACATTGGAGAGTCTCTCGATTGTTGCTATTTTATTACAATGTACTAGCATTTGAAAAGAAAATATCTCAAAAGGCTGCGTACCATATATCGCACAATTTAATCCCATGGACGACTCGCAGTAGAATTATGCACAAGAATTTCATCGTAATCAACAACGTGACAGTAGTATGATTCATCATATTGTAAACGTACCAGAAATACATTTTTAATTGTTTTGTTTTTGAAAGGAATCTTGTCAATTATTGATATCGCAGACAATGGAAGATAGCGTATCAAGTCATATGTTGTTTTGAATGACAAAAACTAGGAATGAATGTCTTTCCAAAACTTCACTATTCACAAACCTGTATCTGGAGCTGAAATGATTTTTGACCTCTCACTATAGAGGACGCATTGGAGTACCAGCACATACTCTTAAGTGAAATGATACTTCCGATCTGATGAAGTGTCCCTTAACTAGCCCTGTCATCTTAGAATACAATGTCTATATATAATAATAATTATAAAAAATCGAGATTTTTATACACCGCTTTGTCACAACCTAGGTTGGAAGCCGTCTCAAAAGGGTTCACAAATTATTATCCGTGATTATAGGGCCTTTGTAACTAGCCACTATCTTTCTCAACTCCCTGGGGAGCATACAGCCGGTGCTGCCATTTCGGCGCTCACAGCTAGCATTCTACAATTTAAGCACTGCCCAACCACGTACTCAAACGGAGTAAAGTATCCTGCTCAAAAATACAACACAGTGCCGTGACGTGACTCGAACCCGCAACCCTTAAGTCAAAAGCCCGGCGTCCTACCACTAGGCTTTCGTCGGGCTAATGTACTAGTTGGGGTCTGGTTACGATTTTGTATGCCCCCGCCATAAAGTGTTGCCCATGTCTGTCCCGTCCCGTCCTGTAGTTTTTCATCAAATATGACGGGAGTCCAAAAATTTCGGTATCTTAAATCCTATTTCTCATACCGATATTGCGGAGACCCAAATCAAATAAAAACAAACACATTGTCTTAAGCAAAGAGAACTTTTACTTTTACTTTGTGTATTCTTTAGGATTCTTCTGGTGTTGCTATCGCTGCCAATGGTAAACGCGGACTGTATGGGCAGACCCGGCGATGTGGACAAGAGGTTGATGGCTTACAACATGAAAACCACAGAAGGGGTTAATAAATGTGGACTGATGTGTGCCCTGGAGGGGCGATGTGTTGCCATCAATTATCACTCGGAAACACTGAGGTGTGAGATGGTTGAGGAAGGCGCAGGAGTAAAGAACGATTCGGCCGGATGGTCATATATATCAGACCTGTCTTTCGTTTCTGTAAGTTTGCTTTTAATTCACTTACTATCAGAACTAACACACCAAAGCTTATATAACTTCGATAATTTGTATTTTCAGAATAGTACAAACTCGCCCCTGTAACTTCGATAATTTGTATTTTCAGAATAGTACAAACTCGCCCCTGTAACTTCGATAATTTGTATTTTCAGAATAGTACAAACTCGCCCCTGTTGTTCAAAACAGTAATAACTCATTGAACAAAAATACATAACTTAACACTTTCGATATACTAGTATTCAAAGTGTTGTCTGAACACAAAAAAAAGCATCACAGTATTAGTTAATGTTATGATAGCTCTCAAAAAGGAGCATACAAGAATATACGTTATATACGTTATATACGTTATATGCACACTTTACAGATTATTTATTTTGAAATTATCCAGTACTTTTTAAAATCGTGATTTAAGGGTTTTCCCCTCTGTTTCAACAGTATTTTAGACAATTTCAATTTCCACTTCGAGTTGGATGCAATGCGACTACTAAAAGTTGTATGCTATATATTCGCACCTAAAATTGACCAGATAAGTGTTCTATGTGTGTTTGAATCTTGTTTTTTTTTCTTCTAAATGCACATCTCTCTGCCGGTATTAATCTGCAGTAACAGTAGATTGGGTGTGATGTTATTTAATAGAAATAAGCAAAAGGGACACTTATGGGCTTACACACGAAAAAAATCCTGAAAATTATCATGAGAATGATTAAGCTTGTCTATATTCTCTAATTTAAACTGCTTTTGTTACAAATCCTAATAAAATACACAGTTAACTTACATGTACCGGTTTCTCATAGGAAAGCCTGTCTGACGGCAAATCATGTCGCAGATATTGTTAATCAATGTTTTAATCATTCTCACGGTTTCATCTTAGGTATATGTTTTCATAAGTACAGTTCAGTTAACTGATGGACGCAGGCAAACTTGTCTCTATGTCCATACCTTATTTACAACTTGAAAATGATCCATGTTTCTTAAAAATCTCACATCCTTACTTTGATTATAGTATATGTAAAAAAGCTTTAGAAAAAAACCAGATGTCGTAAAAGTTAAATATGTAATAGTATACAACAGAAATAAGACCAGAGAGTGCATTGTTAGATTAAAAGTGCTTCTGAAGTCAGACGATTTGTCTATGCCAAGGTGGCCAACGGATTCTATAAGCAATACTACAATTTTTTGTAATCGTCGTAGTCTTTTCTTGACAAATAAATCTTTAAGGAGATGAGAATAAAGGCATTTGTTCAGTTGATTGCATGTATGGTAGCTTTAAGAGTGGAAAAGTCAAATTGATAGAAGCTTTGTTGGAGAGTGGTCCTCCAAATTGACAAAAAGATATTTTAAATTCCGAAAATTCACATATTTTAAAAATTCTTATAAAAAAATTCGATTGCGTTATAAACGAATCAAGTCCATTTTTAACTTTTGACCAATATTCATAAAAATTGTAAAACAGAAATATGATCATTTGATTTTATGTATTTCAAAGAACAGGAGCATGTGGTGGTTGGGTTTGCTTGGTAATCAACCAAACCTATTTCTATTGGCAAACAGAAAAAAATCATTATATAATATACCTTTTTTATAATGTGGACATCATTCTCCCAGGAAAGGTCATAGGTATTCAGATTTTAAGCTGTGACGTAATGATCGGTGAATCCTTTGGTCATGACGTAAATTACAGATATGGATGTCATCTGATTTTGGTAGGGTTTTATTGTTGCAACGCCATCGGGTGATACATATTGACACATTTACACATCATAATGTGTACTGCTGAATCAGAGTATCGATAATGTAATTGATCGGAGAGATTCGTCGGGGTCGTTATGGTACCGCCACATACAAATAAGATACAAAAAAGTTATTGCCAGGTGCTAATATAGCTGTCTTTTATGTTAATCAAATATGTAAATTGGCTGTTCCCATAGGTCTGATATAGCCCCAGGAACATTAATTTTGTTCGTGTGATGTAAAAAAAAAGCTATGTACAAAATAATATTAAAATATCATTACCTGTATATTATATAGAGGATATTTAATGGTGTCGTCAGTAATAACAAATATATATTTTACGAGTGTGGCTAATATCTTGATATTTTACACGAGTGCGCAGCAAATATCACTTTTAATATTGGTAACAGTGCGAAAGATATCAGTTTTATCAAGTTGATAGAATCCGATATTTCACTGGCAAAAATGTAATTAATATTCTTACTTCATATTTGCGAACCTCACTTTTGGCTTTCGCCCTGGTGAGGAAGGCAATGGGTTCTGTCCCCAGGCCGGGACATACCAAAATCCTTGAAATGGTAGTTGTTATAGGTGTTAATTCCCTGGTTAAAGCTCAACAGATCAGTATAATGTGAACGGGCGGAATGTTGTGCTGGGTGCCTTCGGCATGACATTTCAGTGGGACATCACTATAAAGTCGGCATCAGATCCGCGCTAACACAAGGAGGCAAGCACACCAACATACCATGTCTCCTGTACACACACATGCAAGCGCGCATGTACTACACACCTGGATGCACGTCCTTAAATGACCTTAGCTATTAATAGGATGTTTAATGAATTAAAACCAAACCAAACCATCACATTTACGATAAGATTTGTCGATAGAAAATTAAATTACAAAGTAGGTTGATTCAACAATACCCTTCAATAATTGTAACACACATCTAACGTGTTAATGTGTTATTACTTGTCTTTAATACGATACGAAAGTCATTTAGCTGAAACGCTTGTCGATCAATGGGATACCTTTAAAATCCAAACAAGAATGCAGATATTTAAAACAATATCCCGCGATAAGTGCGAAACAACAAGAAAACCACTCCAGGGTATAGCTTAATTTCATTTCTCAAATCCAGTCGTTGAATACTTTGGTGTTAATACAAAGTTTCTGATTCGTTTTCCGTCGAATATAACACTTTTTAACAAAATATAAAATGAATTAAAAAATAGGATAGCCACCTAGCCCCTCTCTTCAAAAGAAAATGATATCTTATTTGACAGCATCATGATAAAAAAAAACGACGATAGTCATGGTTTTAACTGTTTTATTCAAAAACTGTTTTTTTCAAAACTGTAATTCGGAACCAAAACCAATGAAACTAAAGCAAAATATGAATCACGGGAGATATACTCGAAACAAAAGTACAAGGAAATCATACCAGGTGTTCAGGAAGGTTAAGCGTCTTCAGTTCAAACGACAGCATCCGCCATGTAAACGTAGGTTATATCCAAGTAATGTCACGTCCTCAAAGCGAGACATGGAGTACTGACAACGGAAAACAAGGAACGTGAGATGAGATCATGATGGCAATCGAAAGTGATAAACAATGAACGCTAGAGGAAATGTAGCGTGTAAGGTACATGTAATATTTTGCAATACATTTACATGCGTAATGAACATATATATCATTACACATGCAAGCTTTTTATGACCAGGAACCGGCAGATATCGCATACAATTTGAATTACAGACACACTTCGACAGGTTTCATGTATGCTACCTGGGGGAAATATAAGCATTGGAATCAAACCTCGACTCAAAAAAAAAAATAACGTCTGATGATTTACTCCTTATAGATATTTTTTTTCTCTTTTTACGTACATTGCTTTGAATTAGAAGTCACGCTTACGGTATATATTCGTTTGATGTATTATACATTGTTCTAGTATACTTTGATGCATAATCCAAACAATGCTTTACTGATATCACGATTCAATTCCTATCTTGTCTCCTTGATGTTGCAGCCCTTGATCGGATCATGCTCCGGAGAGACTTTGTCGGAATACTCTGCTTGTGTGAAACTGACAAGTGGAAGCCATGCTACCGTCATCAAATGTACGTATTAATTCATCGTTAAGGCTCCCTGTCCCACTGCACTGTGACCTCTCGAAAATACAGTAATCTCCCCTTTTGATTTCCTTTCATTTATAACTTCCATTGACCAGATCGCTCAATCGGGTTAGAGCGATAGTATTACAATCTGAGGTCCAGGGTTCGAATCCCAGTCTTAGCCCTGCTGAATTCGTACACTGTTGTTGATTATGTATTTTTTTTAATTTTTTTTGTAAAGGTCCCGCAAGGTCTTTTTTAAGAAATGATTATATCAAAGCTGTAGTCATGCCAGAAAAAACAGTTTCAAACCTATATATCAATTCAATCATTTTACCGTAGTTGTGGTGGCAAATGCCACTTTTGATTTGTAAGTTAACTTTGATAAGTAAAAAAAAAAAAACAGGCCCTGGAACTCACTTCAGCCACAGGTGTTGAGCAAATATCATATGATATATATAATATACAATACTAACAATTGATATCTTATACTTAAAGCATATAAAGGGTGTCCTGCACCTTTTAATTCACTTAAGATTGAGAGATATTTGAAATAGCCAGGTTTGATATGTTTCCAGAAGCCATAACTCCGTATAAAACAGAAGGAAAGTGTGTAGTCAATATGCAATTTATGTAAGTCTACTTAAATGAGTAAAGTTGTAACATTCAAGTCAAAATACTAATTAGAAAGGAAGTTATTGAGAAATCAAAACACTTTTCATTTGGAAATTACCTAAAACAACCCCCTGTATTAATCCTTCGTTTTATATAAACAATCTTTAAGTGACGATTGAATTTCTGTCATTTTTCATACTGTTACATATGCTTGTCTAATTTATACATGTTTTCAAAAACAGAAATGGTACTATTTTGATTTTTAAGCTCATTCTGGAAAACAGCAAACTATATTTGTGATTTACCCTACCCCTTTTGGTACCCCAGAAACCCACTTTCGGTCAAAGTTTTACTTTAGGTCAAAGTTAACGATCGACAAGTCGTTCTAACCTTACCCAAGTATACACACTTTTGGCTAACATCTAAGCGCCTATTACTTATAGTAAGACATTATGTAAGATAATTAACTTTAATGCCTTAGTGACATGTTATGTGGCTGTACAAGCCAGGTATTCTGCTCTCATCAGCTGTGGTGAATGTAATTATACTTAAATTTATCTTTGGTATATCATCTTTTCTTGCGTGTATCATTGGTTGAAGTAAAATAACTAACTTATTGTTGCACTATTGTAGATTAATGAACATGAGTACAAATACTTTGTATAGCTTTCACAATTGTATTATCATTTCTCCTTAAATACAGAAATAATATTCAAGCAATCCCTCTACAATCTGGAGCTCTCTACAATCGGGAGCTCTCTACAATCTGGAGCTCTCTACAATCTGGAGCTCTCTACAATCTGGAGCGCTCTACAATCTGGGGCTCTCTACAATCTGGAGCGCTCTACAATCGAGCCAAATGTTGTTGTCGAACTGGTGTCCAATTAAGACATAGTCAACTGCATTTGAAATACAATTTTATCTCTTGATTATATTTCAAAATCAATCAAAAATAGAACTTTGTACACAATTTTAGACACTGTACTCTCTAATAATAATAATTATTATTATTCGAGGTTCTTATATACCGCTTTATCACAACCTACTTTGTAGGTTGTCTCAAATCGGTTCATAAATTATTATCCGTCGTTATAGGGCGATTGCAATTCTAGCACTGTCCAACCACGTGCTCATTCACAACTGATCATGAGTAGACTGGAACAAACGGAGAAATATGTGAACCGCTTTGCGACGTCCTACGAGCTAGGTTGTGATACAGTGTAAAGCGGTATATAACAACCTCGAAGTGTTATTATTACATGAATTATAACTAGTGACAGGGGCCTTCAAACGGACGTAAATCCGTAAACTAATGCGTGACAAATTGTATCGAAAATAGTAACTCAAAGTAAAAAGGACTAGCAAAACCCATTACAGCATCCGAATACAGGTACAGGTAAATAGACCAGACGTGATGTGCGTTTTCGGAACAATAAAGCGACAGATTCATTATTTATATGATTGTATTACAAATCTACCACTAGGGTTTGTCGACTGGTGTATTATCAGAATGCGTATATATCGTTTTCGGCCTAAGAATATAGATTTCATTCAACCATATTTTATTGACACTAAATAGTTGAAGAAATTGGGCACAAGTTCTTACAACTTACTAGGCCCTCTCCCAGATTTACGATTGCAATTGTCTGCTGCATCTTTTTGTGGATAGTTCACTGATGTTTTTATTGATTTGGATAACTTCAATAATTGATTTGTTTTTTGTTTATTTTTTTGTAATATTATACTCTTGTTTACATGCGCAATGCCTCGCGGACCTGATGTATCAATTCTGTATGCAGATGATTTAATTATCGATATGTCACATGTTGATCAGTATGGAAACAAGGTGACAGTTGTCCGTTTACCTATTTCAATCTAACAATTCATGCATTTTTCATGACGAATTCATCAATGAAATATGACACCGTGAAGCCGCCGTCAGAGTACTGTTATAGTGCTATTAATATTAACTTCAAACATTATTTTACTCTTGTTGCCGATAAAATCAATTGTTTAAAATTAATGGCAATAATATATTATGCGTAATATTCTACAAATTACAAATGGGACTACATTTTGTCCTTTTGTTTTCACGCTGGTGAATCCAACGGAAATTTCCAGCGAAAACACGCTATTCTCTCCACTATGATACGCCCATGTTTAATGAACAATGGCTGTATCGTTTTTATTTCTATTTGAAATGATACATTAAAATCATTTGGAAATAAAAGGAATGTATTTTTTTTTTAAATGTTATGAGATCATAATAACACTGGGTTTCTGGATATACTTTCCACGAATCGCTATCACGAGTCACGGAATATGTCCGGGAACCCAATGTTGGGTCCCAAAGGACCTTATAAATGCTTAAGAAATAAATTCCGCTTCATTTATTTCAAGCAATGAATAGGTCGGATATCAATCCGACTACTATGTTTCCGAATCCGCAACGGATAGCATAAATATTTTAACCACGGATAATAACTTGTAAACCGTTTTGAGACGACCTACGAACTACGTTGTGATAAAGCGGTATTTAAGAACCTCGAATTTATTATTATTAGGTCAGAATTTCTACTGCTACCTTCGGTTGAAGTTGAAGGACAAATGTACAATTTATGTCTCGGGATCACCTGATTATGTTGAAGTCCGGATAAAGTATTCCATATTAGAAAAAGTGATTAAACATGTTCAAACGTATGCATACTTATATGTAGCCCAAGTTTACTCTGGCCCTAACACCAGACTTAGACCTTTTGACATATATATGTCTGGTGTGGGACATCTATATGTCAAAATGTGTAGGTCTGGTGTTAGGGCCAGAGAAAACTCGGGCTAACTTATATGCATATCATAAAGATATACAAAAACAGTGCAGTGACCGATATACTTTTAGACAAAATATGCAACACATAAAAAGAGGCCGCGGTGGCCAAATGGTTAAGGCGTCTGACATGCTGCTACCACTAGGTCGCGAGTACGAGATCTACGTGGGGCACTCGACAGGCACTTATCGTAGGTCGGTGTTTTGTTTCTCCGGGAACTCCGGCTTTCCTCCAATACCAAATCCTGGCACGTCCTTAAATGACCAGAGCTGTTAAAAGGACGTAAAACACAAACAAACAAATCACATTGTAATACATCTTATATTTCGTTCCGCTACAAATGTTTAGTCTGTAATATTTACCACGATGCGCACGCATCACGGCATGAGAATAAAACAGTCGTCTATGATTGAAGTTCTAGTGCGGACATGAAACACACATCAAGAAAGATTGATAAATAAATCAGCACACACAATAAGAGAATATTAAAGTGTTAATGTTTATTTGAGCTTTAACGTCTTGGCAACAGACAGTATTATGTGGATGGATGCCAAGGGAGAAACCACCGGCAAGAGAGAGAAGATAGGAAAGAAAATATACAGAAAAGAAAGGAAACGAAAAGTTCCCAAATATGTTATTCAAATTCAAATCCTTAAGCTAGGTGAAAATCATGAACACTAATGCTATCTATATACGTATTATGGGATTTCGAGAGGATAAATATACTATTCAGATTCCAAATGAGAAACCACACTGAGCGAGCATGTCTGGCAGTTTTTTGCCGTTACACCATGCAGTTCTTTCTCTTCTAAACTATGGTGGCCACAACAAATATAACCGAATCCAAATCACTAATTATAAATGGCTCAGCTACGGAGTCGTACCGTAGACTGCTGTACATATGTATCACTTATCTAGTGTTCGCCCCGTTGAATTTAATGGGTTTTATTTTAGCAAAGTCAGTTAACAGGCAGTCCACTGTTTTGTCACCACTGAGAAAAACAATTCAGCGTTATTATGCATGTTTACAATACAAACTATTTACCTTTCATGTCCACCATTTCATTGGTGTTTCGGTTTTCCTTTGTGTTCTTTTACTTAAGTTCATACTGAAGACCCCAGCCATTGAAGTGTCATAACGTACTGCACGTAATGACCAAGTATTAAACAAAGCGTAGCTGACTCGAGTCATGTCGGTACTTAACATCTATTGTACATACGCTTACAGCGTAGCCGTATCGACATCGATGTGTGGACAACTCGTACACATTTCGCACCTTTGCGTGCATACGCTTCACTGGTCATTTGTCTGATGAAGGTGACAGTGTACATGCCGTACTAGTCATCGAAACGTCACATATAAAACCCGTATTGGTTGTGTTAAAAGACACTTTTCGTAATTATTAGTTACTGTTCTGTGAGTCGACTATTTTAAATTAAATGCCAATCGGTCCAGAATTGCACAGTAAATAACAGATACCTATGTTTAACGAAAAAATCAAAAGACAAAAACGGTATCTCACCCACCTTGGTATTTAATTTATTGTTTCAAAATATTTCCATCTA